ATGCTTGGTAGGTTGTTAGTGGGTCTATTATCCCCCCTGCCACTCCCCTGCCACCCCCTCCCACCCCCTCTCACACCCTTCCCACTCCCCTCCCCTCCCACCCCTCCCACCCCCCTCCACTCCCCTCCCACCCCCCTCCACTCCCCTCCCACCCCCCCCCCCCCCCCCCCCCCCCCCCCCACCCCCCCCCCCCCCCCCCCACCCCCCAAAAAAAATGGGCTCCAAGAACCAACATGAAGAATGTAAAATTTTTTAAACTTAAAATATATGAAAGTTAACCATCTAGATTTCCACAAGCTATTATAATTCATACATAATCTATACGGTATTAAATAACCACAATTATTTGACCACCAAAAATAAATAAATGTAGAAATATGTTTTTTTACAAAGCTCTTTATGTTCCATTTATAATATGGAAGGGTTGAACAGGATACTGTTTTTTAAATTACTACTCCTACATGAATACATAAATGAATAAGAGGTCAAACAACACATGAAGGGAATAGTTGGAATCAGGCAACTAAAAAGATGCAGCGATGTGGTCATACAATGCCTCCTAGGGCTGCAGATCTTGGGTTCTGATTCTGCATCAAGATACATTTTAGAAAAATTGTCTAGGCTTCTAGCTCAACCTAACCTAAAGTAAGTACTAGAAAATGTCCTGAGAAGTAAAGACAAACATCATGATGGGGACCACATCCCCTGACTGATGCTGATTGGTCTATAAAGTATGGGTCTAGCATCATATCCCTAGGGAAATGTTTTTGGGTCTTTTCCCGATTTGTTTCCTTGGTAAGATATGCGGGAAATATAAGAAGATGGAAATGGTACAGAATGACTTGATCTGAGTTAGATGAGGAAGTAATTTTCATAAGTAACAAACAATCTGATAATGTATAATGTAACCTTGTGACGAAATGACCTCAGTGGTCTCAGAAGTTATATTGTGTTTAATAATTTCTTATGTTCAGAGAAGGACAAAGAATTATAAGCAATAGACACTGAGCCCAAAATATTTCTACTTCCACCACAAGGGATTTGAAATTTGTTTAAACTGCGTTTCCAATCTCTAGCCAGACAAAGCAACCTTGCTTTAGGTAATATTACCTTGGTTAGGAATTCCTTTCTCGTGTGAATGTCATAAATTTTATCTCCTGACCAGACTGTAGAGGCGAGGAAGGGGGAAATAACTTAGTGTCACACCTGAAGATTAGCTCCCCTGAACCCGACTGTAGTATAATAAAAGTTGCAAAACACACACAGAGTGGGGCTTTTGAAAAGGCTAAATCAGGGGAAATTAAGTGGTCTGGTAAACATTTCTAGACAGGATGGCGTCCAGCGTCTGAAGTTTCACACATGATAGTGAAATTCTCAAGAGAACAAATGTTTGGCAATTAGGAATGTTTGATCTTGGTCAAGGTCGTACTGTAGGCTGTTCACTGTGAGTGACAGGCCCATTGATAGCTAGGTTGATCTGCTAGGTACCTCAGAAGCGGGGCTTAGGTCATCTCCTTGAGGGTTGGGTAGAACCTAGTAGAGGGTGGTTTAACCTTGCAGACAGATAGGGGTATTAATAATACTAGCCTGTGGAATTCCCGTCATAATCGCTGCCACAGGCAACAAACAGGTCGACCTTAGAGGTAAATCTAATGGTTTGATTCTAGTTTGGTGATTGCTGGAAGTTTCCAGGTAAGCATGTACAATTATTTTCAATATTGTATACATAGGTTAGGGAGTTAGCTAAAATCTATTCTACCTTTTCCTAAATTGTTCTACACATTCTGCTTGAAATAGTTCTTTGTGAGTATTCAGTATCTCAGTTAGGGAACTGCTAAACTATTTCTATTTCTTGTATGTTTGTGGCACATGTTTTTCAGTTTATGTTTTCATGTTTATAAAATAAGACTTGTATACTGAAATGTAATGAAATTATAATGTTTCAACCATCAACCAAAACATGGGTTTGGACTGTGGGAAATGATGCCCGCATATGCAGCCATGCTGTTACATTTTGTGTGCCCACCATGTGCTCACCTAAGGTGTTCACCTAAACAGGGGATTTATAACCCCAGGGGAAGAATCATGAGTGTTTATTATTCACTGTCACTGAAAGATAATATTCAGGACAGCATGCTCGTATAAAATGTTTGGCGTGTTCAGTGCATCACCTGCGCCACTTGTTTATGTCAAATCAATGTCAGCCAGTTGGAAGTCTGAGTGATGACGGACAACAGAAAGTCAACTATCATGACCGAACCTTAGAGGGAAGGCGGGATATGTGAGACGTCGGTGTGACACACAAAGACCTTCAGAACAGACTGGAGAGAATGTGGAATATGAGGAGGAGTGATGAGATATATTTGATTATTATATGTTATATTAATTGATACATGTATTCTTAGTGTAAGTCAAGATACTACACGTATGTGTTTGTTTCCATGATTACAGCGCCCATGTGACGATCAGTCCATGAAGGAGACTACATTGTGTTAGACTCGGCCAGCTGGGAACGAGGTGGGGATGAAGTGGAGACTAAGCTGAAACAGGCAGAAAACAAGCAGGGAAGAAGCTAGAAGAGGAGGAAGAGCTTGACAGTGCTCACGGCTGTCAGAGGTTCTATGATAACTAAGTTATGTCAAAAATTGTTCATACGTTATCACCTTCATCACACCCTTCTAATCCCAGGTGCTGTTTTCTCGCTGAAGCATCTCATCACTATCATACCATTAACCAGTCACTGTTTGTGTAAACACAGCAAACTGGGAAATAATGATTGTTAGTAAATAAAGCTGTATGTCAAGTTTTATACTACATTGTTTGTTAAATTCCAAGTGTATTCAGTCTTACCTGTTTAACTAAACTGTTAAGATAGAATAGCATTTGGTGGGGGCTCATCAAATAATAATGATAATAATTCTTTAATTATTCATAATAACACCGGGAGAAGGTAGAAGACGGAGGAATCATTTGCCCTGTCTAATAATTCATTCAGCATAATGATTTAGACATCTAAAATTCCTTTCCTTCTTTTGTGGGTACCAAGTTCAGCTAATGTTAATGTACTTAACGAGCCAATATGGCTGTTTTCTTGGATATCCAGGACTTTGTCTGAGAGCAACATAGCCCAGATAATAGTTCAGTTAACCTGGTGGAGGGGATGTGTTGAGAGGAAAATTCCCTACTCAACATATAAAATTCAGTTAAACCCAAATCCAGGGAACCCACGACCCGGGACGTCACACTGAAAGTGTTGTAATTTCCAAGGGAGTGGGACGTAACGTCACAAACCTCTTTGTGATGGTAACTTCATACTGCCTTTATGGAAATATATATGATATTTTATATCTTTTGAATATGATACTTTAGTGATGGGTTAATTATTCTCAGTATTAACTCACTAAGTCCCAAATAGCTGGTATTTTAAGTCATTTTATCTAAAGAAGTTGTTATTTCAAACTAGTAAATGTTGTGTTCAGAGTTGTCCAAACAATAACCCAACTAAACTTGAAGTTGAAGTAACTGTTATTACAGAGTGGGTTATTGCAGCAAAATGATAAAACAGAAGATGCTAAGAAAATCACATCATGCAAGGAATTACTACAAAATGTGTGACGAACTGTTAGGTAACTGAATGAGTTAAAACTTGACTGAACAAAATGCTTTGTTCATTATACAGAAATAAGTTTTTTTGTCAGTGACTTCGCAAGAAATAGTTGCTAAATTTGCCTCACAACATCAGTAGACAAAGACATAGGCAACAAATGATACACAAGGATTCAAACAAGCTATGCTGTATACCTGGTAAACATGTGTGACATGTCGACTATCTTCTCCATTTTCTTCATCTGTTTTCAAAACGATGAGATCAGGAGAAGATCTCCTGATAGAAGAAAAATATATAGAGTAATAATCATTAGTTAGTTCAGTCCGTAAACGCAGTGTATTCAGACAAGGCAAGTGTAAATGCACTAATAAATATTTAAAAAGTTTGCTGTGTGTCCTTTGACAGGATGTTGCAGAACCAGCGCAAGCATATTTTTGGCTTTTGTGGTTTTTTTCTAGGCAAATTTACATTCAGTAGTGTGCCTTTGCTTTTTGAATGATCGGCTCTTGATACCACTGTTGAAACCAATGCACGGTGGTCTGCTGCTAATTTTCCTGCAGCTAGGATCGAACCTGGCACCCTGTCATTAGAAAACACGTTTGCTCAAGTCACAGACAAAAATATAAACATTTGTAAATTATGCATTTGAAAAGATAATGTTACAGAAGAGTTGCAAACAAGGATGATTGAATTACTTTCAACTATTCATTTTTTATAAAAGAGTGAACTGAACAATCCCAAACAAGGAGCACTGAATCTTAGCTCTGCATTGGTCAGTATTTGCTGATAGCCAGAAGTACCCATGGGCTGCCACCATCCCCCCCCCCCCTTTTTTTTAAAGGCTAAACAGCATGCATGAGGTTAATGAGGAACTGTCAACCTGATAAAACTCAAAAAAGAAGCAATTCATGGAATTGTTAACCCACTAGGATTAAGTAAACAGGGCCACAGAACAGACAGAACATCCGTTTCTGGACTGAATTGTTCAGCTGGGAGTGAACAGAGGATCTTGATGATTTTCTATAACTGCGAGGAAAAACAGGTGAACTTTTAATCAGGTTGCAACTGTATTGTCAGTATGGGAATTCTTTGTTGGCTACAGAGGACAAGTGTGCAGCGTGTAGGGGAATGTCCTGAGTCTAATGATGTCAATTCTTGGTTTATTTATTCTGTACACCCGAGAATAAAACTAATTTACTAGACTTCATCTCTTTGTGTTTTCAGTGTCTCAGATGTGTCTTACAAGAATTCGGGATCAGTGGCAGTGTCATAACATTATCTCTGACTGCCTTAAAGTGGAAATAGAATTGCATCCCTGGTAAATAACAAACTAAACTTATCCTGAGCACTGAAACAATACAGATCTACACTTAATGAATCTATAAACACTTACCCAAACAAAGCTATTTCTGGGACAACAATCACAGGAATTTCAATGCTAGCAAAGTTGTTATCATAGTTTGCAGCTTGTTCTGGATTTGTGCTAAATAAAACAAAATATATACATTCTAAGAAATCTGCTGATTTTATGATTCTACTATTTTGGTAATTGTACAGATAGAATTACAAAGGTCAGATTTTTAAGAGCATGCATCTTTCCCATTGCAACATACGCCTGTGAGACCTGGACACTTACTAAACAAGCGGAACAGCGCATAAATGCATTTGAATATAAATGTTACAGACAGGTTCTAAGAATATCTTGGGTAAAGAAAAGAACAAATGCATCCATACTTCAAGAGCTGAATATTGAAGAGGGTTGGCTAGTAAAGACAATAAAACAAAGAAAATTGAAATATTTTGGTCACTTGAAACGTCATAGAAGTCTAGAGAGAACAATAATGGAGGGGTATATGCCTGGGAAGAGAGGAAGAGGAAGGCCAAGGAGAAGATGGGTGCAGGATGTGGCAGATGATCTCCAGATGGGTGTATCAGACGCAGGACATCTTGCTCAGGATAGGAAGGTTTTCCGGAGGGTTGTTATGGCAGCGAGGTTCCGCGAGGGACATGCTACTGAATGAATGAATGAATGACTATTTTGGTTATAATGTATGTTTAACTAGACAGACAGATGCAAGGACAGATAGTATAGTCTTGTAGATTTGGATTATATTTTGTTAGAAACTTGCCATGTTCCAGATGACAATTCTCTCACCTCTAAACTGTTTGGCAAACATGTTATTCTATGATTTCATCATTAGCTATGTAATAATCTCCAGTCTCTAGCCCTAGTTGTCATAGTAGTGACTTAAAAGCAGTTATTTGTACATGAATATGTAGCAGAGGAGGGAACATTTGGATGTCAAGTGAAAGTGAAAGAGGAGGGAACATTTGGATGTCAAGTGAACGTGAACTTCTAACTCTTCCTGCTGATTAATTTCAAGTTAAAATATGTGCCAGACTTGGATAAATTTCTATTCATTTAACAATCTTCTGTGCAAGTACAGTTTGGTGAATGTGCAGTTAATAAATTCTACACTTTCAAAAATTTTAGGTACACATTAAATCTACTCTCTCAAGATACTTGTTAGAAATGAATTATATTCTTTCAAGAGTGCTTGTTAAAGATAAAATATACTACCTCAACAGGTAGGTTGGTGATAAAAGCTACTTCCTCATTGTTTAAAGATAGAACCTACTCTTATAAAAAAGCTACTTGAAGATAAAGTCAACTCTTTAACTTGTTCTGGGGTAATCTATTTCTTCTGCTTTACTGTAGTTCATTCTAGTTGAATTTAAAATATACTGTTAAAACAAGCTGCTTAACTCTTTGAGTCCCAGTGGGTTTAGCATCACAGGCCCAGTTGGTAGTAAAGAGAGTCATAAAATCGGCGCATTGTGCCTTTATTGAGCTTCTAGGTAGGAACCTATGAACGTATGATGCATTCCTTGCGACTCAGAGAGTTTAAGATTTAAAAAATAAATCTTATGAGGCAACCTGCTAAAAAATATACTCTCAAATATGCTGGTTATAGAACTCACCTGTTGGCTTGCAAAGAGAAGACAAGCCAATCCTTTGTATTATTCGCATTTGTTGGAGTGAACACCATGGTAAATTCCGACTGTCAAACAAGAAAAATATGATAAAAAGTCATCTTCTAAGTCACTGGAGATTCAACTTTAAACGCGATTTTTCATAATTACCCAAATATAATATCTTCGAATTCAGGACAAGCAACATACCCTGAATGGACCTAAATGTGCTTTTATTTACAACAATGAACCTACAAGCTGCTTTGTAAAACATTCAGTTCATACGAACATACAAGACAAGAAGAAAATAACAGCTTTGAGACATGAATAATAAACAATACAGTCCATAATAACCGTATATTTTTAAAATGTACTTGACAAAACTTGAGTCCAAAAGCTGACAGAAAAAAGAATTTGGAAATATTAAATAACAATAAATAAATATCACATAACAAATCTCTATTAATTGTTCTCAGTGCTTCCTCTGTAGGTTCTGGGTGCCCACTGTGAGGAAAACAAGATTAGACCCACTACCTCCCCAACAAGCATGTCATAGGAGTCGACAAACCCCAGGCTTCTTTGAAATAGGAGTGCATCTGCCCAAATGGCAATGAACAATCAGCTGCACACAAATAAGCTAGAATGTACACACAAAACTCAGACCCTGGCATAAAGCCAAAGTCCAAATTGATGAATAACCAGGACTTTCCAATGGAGGTTACAGCCCCTGAACAAAAATAAAAAAGTAGTTCTCAGTGTGAATTCACTCAGTATATACCATCTTTGAAAAGGTGTCTAGCCCAAACCCCTCTCCCATACACACACACACAAACACACACACACACACACATCCATGCTCATAAACACATGCATGCATGCACGCATGCATGCACGCACACACACTCACACATACACACACAGATTTATATATATATATATATATATATATATATATATATATATATATATATATATATATATATATATATATATATATATATATATATATATATATATATATATATATATATATATATATATATATATATATATAAAGTATTTTCAAAACTTTAAAATCATTATGCTTGTGAAGTCACAAGTTGTGTAATCAATCCATTCTACTGTAGATTCAGAAGATGTGCAGTCCATCCTACATGTAAAATCAGAAGTGTAGATTATCAAATCCCAGTTTTTGACCATGTGACATAAGTAAGTGATGTGGTTTGTATTACATTAGTTGATTTGTCTGTCAGAACATTTTCTGGTAGCTAACTTAGGAGGCTGAAAGAATTCTGGACCAAGTGATCATGAACAAATTCCTACTTTTGGGGGAATTGTAAATAAACCTATCAAGCAAGTGCACTAGTCAGAACACTACCATGACTTCTTGATAATATTGAGCTGAACATACAGCACAACACCAGCAAACTGTTGCAGCCAACAATAATCCAGACTATAAATGTCATAATTAACTTAAATGTACATTTCTAAAACAAACCTCAGATTCCTTCTGCATTGGATTTCCCAGGTCACAGGTCACTTTGGTATTGTCAGATTTCAAGGTGTCACAACTGATGGCAATGTTAGACCTCTGATTGGTTATTGTGTTGTATGTTACACCAGGGGGCAGATCGATCCATAGCTTTGTGTTGAATGAATCCTCACCTCGATTAATTACAATCATCAAAATCTCCAGAGCTGTTGTGCTGCCAATTATGTGCTCTGCTGATACCCTTCAAAGATGAGAGAGAAGACACAAGGAATCAGACTTTGAAACATGACAGTTCCTGACACTGTGTGGGTTCCGGGGCCCCATTGTGGGAACAAAAGAACAGACCCACTGCCTGACCAAAAGCCTGTGGTAAGAGTTGACTAATTGGGAGCTTCCTTCTAAGTCAGAGTACATCTGTCTGAGAGGCCAGAAGCCAACAGTTTATATGCAAATGAGTCAGACCTGTGAAACAGATGTGCATGCAACACTCAGTTTCTGGAACAGAACTAGAGACCAGAAGTGGACGAACAACCAGAACTTTCTGCCAAGAGTTTACAGCCAGTGAAGGCAAAGATGAAGAAGATGACAATTCCTGCTAATGAGTTTGTGCTGCAAAAAAATCAACATCCCAAAAGAGTTTGTTACCTTTTTGGTTGATTAGTGGTAAGATGGTTTAGTCTGGAGGCAGTTATGCTTGAGGTTCAGGTGTGGTTCACTGAGATGTGTTTCCAGCTCATGAAGAGCTAGTGTGGCAGACCTCATTTCTTAAATCTGTGAGCGAGCTTTCACTGTGGTCATGTCATCATCTGCATTCTATGCTCTAACAATTCATTCAAAATTGCAGTTCTCCATTTGCATGAAGTTTGGGTGATTTCATTTCCCTTTGTCGGTTTCAGGGCTCCACTGGGACGGGGGGGGGGGGGAGAAATACCCCCTTTATTAGCATGCTGTAAAAGGCAACTAATTAGGGTGTTTGCCAAAATCGGCTGTAAACCACAACACGTGTCAACCATCCTTTTTGTGTAAATGAAAAAGAGGATGAATGATATCACCGGCCACATAAAATTACTGTCATCCATTGCCATATAAGACATTTGTTACAACCAGCAGTAAAAAAAAAAAAAAAAAACAATGAACTCTTTCTGTCCAAAGTAACACACATATTTTTATATATCTTAACTTGTAGAACTGTGTATGCTTCCTCTTTTGAAGTTAAACATTCATGGTATTTTTGTTGTGGTTATTTTTTTATCCTGACTATTGGAAACAAAAATCTTCCATCAACAAAAGGATTAAACATTCATTGTAAGTGCTTTTTTTTTCTCTCTAGGGGAAAGCCACCGTTTTACACTGACACACACACACATATATATATATAAACATTTTATTGCAAATTCATAATCAAGAATATTTTGATAATTGAAGACAAATGTGAACTATAAACTAAATGTTATATTTATATACTACTAACGCAAAAGCTGCTGATGTACAAGTAAAATAGCAGCGATATACTGTTACAAATTTAATATATGTTAAAGGGGATGTGTACAAACCTGATAGATGAAGAAACATCAAGATCTGGTATACAAATATTATCTGCTCCACAGTCTTTCTGAATATGAGCCTAAAATTAGAAGTAATTATTTGTAAAAGACAAGCCAATACCCCCAAGTTAATGCTACACAATATCCTCAAGTTAATTACCATATGCTTGAGGTTATCATTCTCACAAAGACAAGCTGTTACTCTCATAAGAAGAGAACCCCAAAGTGCCAATCAAAATCCTCACATGAAATAAACAGAACATTATATTTAGATGGTGATATGGAAATAACAGACTCCCCAGCCATTTGTAAAGGAAGTTCAATGCTGTGGACAGCACTTTGTCCAGGTGGACAGCACTTTGTCCAGGTGGACAGCACTTTGTCCATGTGGACAGCAATTTGTCCAGGTGGACAGCACTTTTTCCATGTTGACAGCACTTTGTCCATGTTGACAGCACTTTGTCCAGGTGGACAGCACTTTGTCCAGGTGGACAGCACTTTGTCCATGTTGACAGCACTTTGTTCATGTTGACAGCACTTTGTCCAGGTAGACAGCACTTTGTCCAGGTGGACAGCACTTTGTCCAGGTGGACAGCACTTTGTCCATGTGGACAGCACTTTGTCCATGTTGACAGCACTTTGTCCAAGTGGACAACACTTTGTCCATGTGGGCAGCACTTTGTCCAGGTGGACAGGCACCCCAGAATGCTGAACATATGCTGCAGACATGCTCTCTACATGCAGTAGATAGATTCAAGATCTGGCCAGTTGGTCTTCTGGTGGAAACAAAGCTTTGTGGGTGAGAGGAAAACATGTGTTGCTCCACACCTTTCCTTCCATAGAGGCTTGTAGCCCTCTCTCTTAGGAAAACCACTCTCAGGGAGAAAAATTAAAAAATAAAAGAAGAAGAAAAGGAGAGAAGGAGAAAATCCAACCCACACTCTTTGAGTTTGGCATGAGAAGGGAAAGTGCACCATGACAACATAAAAGTTGAAGTGGAACAGAAACAAAAAAAGACCAAGAAAGACATGATTTTAGCATCACTGTATGGAAGAACATCTGCAACCAGAATTATTTGATAGTTAGTGAGACACGCGGCTGTGCTAGAAAGGAATTATTTGATAGTTAGTGAGACACACGGCTGTGCTAGAAAGGAATTATTTGATAGTTAGTGAGACACACGGCTGTGGTAGAAAGGAATTATTTGATAGTTAGTGAGACACACGGCTGTGGTAGAAAGGAATTATTTGATAGTTAGTGAGACACACGGCTGTGGTAGAAAGGAATTATTTGATAGTTAGTGAGACACACGGCTGTGCTAGAAAGGATGATCAATATCACCTGACTTGGACTAGAAGCAGAAGTTATGTAACAAGGTGAACAATTATTTCTTTCCACATGGCCATTTTGTGTATATACTGCATTATAACCAATACATTCAATACAATACTACTTTGAACATGTATTAGTTGTAGTATTTTTAAAAAGTACCCTGTTTAACTCCTAAGATTATAATTTGCATTTATTGTGTCCTCTGTAGTTTCAAAACAGTGGTACCTCGATTAACGAACTTGATTTGTTTCTGGCTCTAGTTCATATCTTGAAAAGTCTTATCATTACATCTTACTGGAAATCAGTTAATCCGTTCTAAGATTAAAAATTAAAAAATAATAACGGAAAATGAACTACTATCACCTAAATTTAGAAAATGCAAAGAGATTGATCAAGATGAGAAGGAGCATATTAGGAAACAAATATACATATGGTATACCATTACAAAAATGCATTATAACATCTTTTGTTTTACATGACACACACGTATGTAGTATGAAAATCACCTTTTAATCACCATTAAATTGTTTTTTTTTAAAATTATGTCATCAGTGGCTTCCTTTTGTTTCTTTGTCAAGGAAGGTTTTAAAAACATATCTAATACTATCTGCATATTGTTTCCTCAAGACCCTTCTCGAATGATTAATGACATCATTGCAGACATTGATGGCTCTGGAAACAGCGGCTTGATTTGTATGTTCACTGATTCTTCAAGTTTTCTATGTCACTTGTTAGGACTGCTCCCTTATTGCTGCTGTCTTCGTTCTCTGAAGACATTTGTTCTTCTCATCCCTTACTTTTCCCGTTTGGTTTTTAACTCTTGTAGCTCTTCAGGGGTCAGTTTAATATTATGCTCCTCTACCAGCTCCTCTAACTCCTCTTCTAACTGTTGCCCAGGGAGACAACTGCATCTACAATGTCAATTTCACTTTCAGGTCCCTTCAGTGCAGTACTTCAGATGCACTACCGTGGGCACAGTACATGCAGCATACATTGCACACACCACTTGTGGCATTGTATTCCAGATAAATATGATGTAGTAACAACAAACATGCAGGTATGTGATGTGCATCACAATTCATATCTCAAGTTTGTCTTCGTTTGTGGACGTCAAAATGGGATTTGAAAACATGTTGCATCTCAAAAATGTAAGAGTACACAAGTATGTAAGTCAAAGTACCACTGTAGGCCTATATAGTTTAGATAATTTATATATTAAATAATCATTTATTTGTTTGCGGAACGCCAAATGGGGAACAGTTTACAGTATCAGTGAAGTCAAGAGTGTTTATCATGTTTAAAAGACCACAAAAAAATTTAAAAAAAAAAAGGTAAAGAAAATAACCGAAACAGATAACAGACACAACAATTTAAAAAAAAAAATTTCATGAGAGTGTAGAAGGTATGAATGCCAAGGTTGGTTAAGAAAACATGAACTATGTTCAGATACTTATGCTCAACTCCCATGCATAACACATGATATAAAAGACATGGCAAATACTAATCAAGACCCTTCTTTCAAACACACACATGTTGAGAATAAGGTGTGCACTCCAGTTATAAATATTAATCATAGAAATAAACTAAAGATAGCGTATTATTTTTAATTTTCTTTAAAAAAAGTTTTAACAAAAGATGATCCAACAGTTTCTGTTTACAGAAAATAAATCTTCTGCCATGTAATGAGAATCTGAATTTATTTAAAGAATTTGTGTGATGAGTAGGAATCCTGAGACCGGGTGGTGAAAGTGCCAAGGACCAGTGCTGTAACCTAGTTAAAAAGTATCACAAACCTGACACAAGATAATCATGCTGAAAGGTGGGATAATATGGTGATAGAGATTCTTTCATGTTGATGAGAAGTGAGTACCTTCTAATTGCCTGTTAAGGTAGGAATTTTTAAAAGAAGCCTCAAGCTTATTGTTTAGGCGAGAAAGGGCCCATTAATGCATGCCACACTGAGGAGCAGGCAGTAAAGAGAGCTTAACTATTTCATGCCCAATAGTACAATAAGGCTAATAATACAGACACTAGTTTGGAAGCCCCCTTGTGACTGCTGTAAAATATTCAGGTAAAGATTTCACTAACTTTCAGACTCTTAATCAGACAGTTGGCTGCTTATGTACTGTATTCTCATAATGATCTTGTTGATCATGTTATGAAGAATATAAAGATTAAAAAACTCATCATGAATTGTTCCTGCACTTCTTAAAAAGTGATATGCTGTGTCTGTAGTCAAGGTTAACATTCTCATACCCCCAAGACAGAGGATCTGCCTGAATTATACCCCAAGCGAATGATTCAAATACCTACTGCCCAGTTATTGACAGTGTTAATAGAATATTTGATACAGAAGAGATTCCTAACCTATAACAATTTGAGCGACTTACTGTAAAAGATGTAACTGTTGGAATGTAAGCATCAAGGATTGGCAGTAAATCCTGCTTTCGTTGTGAAGAACCCTCAGTATTTAATCTGAACTCCATTGTGACTCGAATAGGGTTTAGCTTATCGCCAGGGTCGTTCTGCAAATACAACATTATTTTTACAAATGTCACAAGGCATTATATACTGTTATTGTCTCTAATGTCATGTCAGCTTTTAATATCAGACTCAAGACTGACATGCATTTTGACATTTCAAGTTACCCTCAGTTTAGTTCCCCAAAAGTTTACAGTCTCATTTTTTAAACAAATTAATGTTGGTGGTTTACACTTGTCTTCAAAATGATATACAATCAAGAATTTCTTAAACTTATCCTCCAATGAGATGAATTGAGATAAGTTAAGATCTGACATCATAGCACTCGGGATATCATTTATTCATTAAAATAAAATGACTTTTCCCATAAGTTTTCCAACCCCATCTTCAGCAGCCAGCACAGAGTTCCAATATCTATGGTACTAAGTGTGATCAGATAAAAACACTTGCACACACAAACACACACACCAGGGGTCTCCACTGAACCATTTACATTGTGCTCTGAAGGTCTGGTTTCAATTTTAGATTCTGTTCTTTTGATATTTGAGTGCACATGTTTCAAAGACCCCTGGTGTTATTGTTGAAGGTATGGAGTTTGTGCTTAAAACATTGTTCTGGTGGGTGACCAACCACTCAGTGGATGATGACCAAGCCTAATAGAAAACAACCTGATGCTTTGTGATTAATCTTATTACCTTTAAACACTCCTTAGAATGCACACACACAGTCTCCCTAACAAACACACACACACACACACACATTTATGCATGCATGCACACACTAACATATGCACACACACACGCATGCAGGCATGCACGTACGCCCAGGCACACACACACCATTATTTTTTTTCAATTTAGAATTTTTAATTGAACGAAGGCATCTTTACTTCAAAAAATTATTTCTTAAAAATATCCTGATGGTGAATTTCAGAGTCAACACAGACCTTGACATAAGCATAAGAAGATGTGCAGAATGTGTTCATTTTCTGTAGTTTGTGAAGCTTGGATTCTGTAAATCTGTTAATGCTGTTTGTATAAAAGGCCCTCTGTTCTTGACCACTGCTATTGTTTTCCTTTGCATCCAAAACCCAAACAATGTCAAAGACTGAGGACAAAAATGAATAAAACATTTGAATCTGTTAAGTTGTGAACAAGCACATACACATGTATGAGGACTATAAAAAAAAATACAAAATATATCTGGGAAGCTCAACAAAGGCAAATGGAAGACAAGACCAAATGTATTGCTAAAATTCTTTGTCAATGAATAATAGAGCATAAATTCTAAACTACAACACATACAAAAACACATGAATTAGTCCATGCAATGAAAAATATGAATGGCGAAGAAAAAAAAAGTTGTGCTGAGAAGCAAAACTTAAAATGAAAGAATGAGAAAAGAAAATGGGGGAGATTAAATAAAAAAATAGAAAATTATTAAACATATTTTTTTCAAGTTTAAAGAATGCTGAACTTTAATCCCTGTCAAAATAACTACATTTTGAATGAGGCAATTGCTCAAGGAGAGATGAGTGGTGTGATCCACTGAGGAAGATTTTAGGGCAGTAACTGAAATATTGATTTCACTTTAGTGGTCAGAGATACTGAAATTAAGATTGGTTTGGGAGCCCCATTGTGAATGTCATGAGATATTTATGTAAATATTTCACTAACTTCCTACCAACACCACATGAGTATAAGCACACACATCAACATCATTTACATATGAATATAATCATCAACAGCTTAATCAGTCTGAAGACTGTTGCTGTGAAGTCATCTAACTCTTTTGGTCACATAAGGTTTTACTGGTTTTGTACCAAAATATTTCTCTAAATATTGCCACAAACATTCACTAAACCACTGGCTGTGTTGTAGGAAAGAAAATTGTATGAAAGATACCTCTGTGGTTGCCTGATTTATTTAGTATCCTCATCATGTAGCAGGTCCTTTGCACAATGTTGCTCTCAACATGGTCTGCCTGAGAGAAACTTGGTCTCTCGCCAGCTCTCCCACCTCCTGCACTTTCATACTTAAGGAGTCACTTATATCCTGTGCCCATCTTCGTGTTGGTCAGCCCCTGCCCCTCCTTCCTGGTACCATGCCTTCTGCTATAATTGTTTCCAATCTGTCGTGGCGCTTGAAATGACCAAAATATTTCAGCTTCCAAGACAAGATGCTGTTTATTAGCCAATCATCCTTGATGTTCAGATCTTTCAAGATGTCAGTATTTCTCCTCTTTTTATGTCCAAGATATTCTGAGAATCTTTCTATAGCATTTCAGCTCAAAAGCCCCTATTCCCTCACTTATTTATTATACTTTGACTAAAACTTAAATATAAGAAGACACATGTTTTGGTGGTTGAGATAGCTAGGGAACAGACAGGAACACGTCATGTGTTGTCTGGGACTGAATTAGCTAATTATGTCCCTTCACCATCTTCTGTTCTCAACAGTTCTAAATTAAACTGAACTGCATGCTTGAATGACTTATGAAAACATCTTATTTTAATGACTGATTTGTAGCCTGCCACAATTTTGAAAGCAAGAGATGAATTACAGCTGTCCTTTATTGTGAAAATAGCAAGTGATCTTACCTGAATTGTTGAAGTTAATAATTAACTCTTTTAGTACCAATGGGTGTAAAATAGGCTCATCTATAAACAGTCTATAGTCACAGTCAGTGTATGACACCTCTGGCCTGCAATGTTACCACTAGCCAGTGTAAATACAATAAAATGGCAACTTCAAATACTCCTTCCTTCTCTTACATTGTCAGCAATATGGATTTAGTAAACTAATTTGTTATGGACTGCTTGAAGATTCAAAATGTACTATTTTTGTGTTTTACAGAGGTGCTACATGCTTGTTTTGAAATTCATTTGGCTACTGAATTATTTTATTCACATTTTCAAAATGATTTAGAGCTTTAGAAGCCTAGAAGTTGAAGAAAAACAGGGGACTGATCAGAAATATCTGGAAGTGAATAAATCCAGTTAAAAAATTTGACTACTTTTAAATGCTGATGATGGATTGATCTTGAATCTACCTCCTGCAAAGTAACAAAGATGAATGAATGAATGGTCAATCCCACCAGGAATGCACAACGTGCAACAAAACACCTGGTGACACAAATTGCCACCATTCAGTTGAGAATCACATGGGCACCTTTCCCATAAATGCTGTTCAAGCATTAGGTTATAACAAAGCTCCCGACAACAGCAGGAGCGGGGTTTTAAAATAAAAAAATTTTTTGTGTAAAAGTATGCCCCATATTAGGATGACTTTAGTATAATAAAGAAACAAAGATGACAAAGAGTCAGCTGGTACTGATAAAATAAATATTGTTAAAAAACATTAGTTTCAAAATCAGTTTGTTCTAGTGCTTCCTTACTTATCCTTTAGGAACACACCTGCAATTAAAGTTGTTGTGTGCGTTCAGATAACTGTTTTTGAAAATCACTGTTTTTGCCTAGTAATGATGCTATATATTATTCAGAAAGTTTCCCTGGACCACAAGTTCATTAAAATGTGCCTTTAAATTTTATTTGCAGGTTACTAAAGGTTTACTTTCATTCCAGAAATATTTTTTTTTAACATTTCACTGAGATGTTTGCAAGTAAATGAAAAAAAAACACATTGCTCATTTGACTTAGTGTGTTTGTTACCTGTTTCTCTGCTGACTACCAACTTAATTATTTCTTGTAACAGCATACTTATACTAATTCTTAACATTTACTATTCTGATTTGTATATGTTGCACAGCAGCTTCAGTTGTCTGATCTATTTTAATGTCTTACAATTGTGAAATTTCTAAAACTCTAAAAAAAACCTTAGCCCTCTAATGAAAAAACTCCCTGTCACCAAAAAGTGAGCAAACATGAGTAAAGTTGTTGAATGAATGAAAAAAATCTTACATAATTCTCCTGGAACTGCAATTCCATCAAATTCGATACAAGTGTACACTGTCAGACTGAAATCAAACAACAGTTACACTTGGTTGTCTGTTTCTTGAGTTAAATATGACACTAGCAATTACATATTTGATATATTGTCTTATAATTCAAAAATTCAATCAAGATGTACAAATAGAAATTAGCCATTTTATCTCAAATGTTAGGCGCTGCAGGTCGACCCAGCCTAAAATGGGTACCAGGATGTATGTCCTGAGGAAGTAAAGATGGCTGGCTTAATATTACCCACGTAATGCCCAATGCACCTAAAGTCATGAAAAAGATCTTTACTTTACTTATCTAAAATGTATATAAATAAAACTCCTCCCCCCAAAAAAATTCAGAAACATTTGTGAACAAGTAATAAATGAGTACCCTGACAATAACAAATGTATGTTGAAAAAAGAAAGGATAATATATACTATCATCATCATGTGACATACTGAACAACACAGGCAAATTTCTGTCCACTGCATTTTTTCATATGTTTTAACGCTGACTGTCTTCCAAGCCACTTCACACAATTATTGAGAATGTTCTCTCTCTGTCTGAACCTGGCTGTCAACAACCATCTCGTTTCATAACATAACACTGGCAATCAAAGGTGCTGTGAAACCGTCTCTTGCAGTACTTGCACAATTAAATGCTAATCTCTATAGTCTATGAAAAAAATAAGAAACAGAAATGCATTATTTCCAGTGTCATAATTGCTAGTAATGGAAAAAATAAAGTCATAAGCCTGTAGTCAAGTCTAAATCAATATCATCTGGGGGACCCAAAAAAGTCCCATGATATTAAACTATCAAGTCATGCAACTAATAATGTATTTCTGGACATAAATGGAATGATCTGTATTCATTTATTTGTTATAACTTCTTAATGTCACATTCAAAATAGTAAGTAGTATCATACCAAGGTACTCTGGTCCCATCGGCCAAGGAGCATGACTTTGTATCCAAGTTGATCATTTCAGGCTGTAGATTCAAACTTGCAAAAACTCGAACCACAGGTCTTGTTCTGATAAATGAAGAAGACAGAATTAACTGGTTAAGCTAGAGGGAATACATGAAACAATTAGATGCATTTATTTTAATAGCAGCATTTAGCTATATTTTTCTTAAACTTACTTATAGCAATAGCATAGTCGTAGTTAAAATTATTTGGTAATGTTCATAAAATGGGAGAAAACTAACAACATGACAAACATGAACAACTAAATGTCAACGAAACAGACTTTCTGAATAACAAAAAGCTTGCTACAGTGGCAACATTAGTCATTTTAAGAGAGCTAGATATGATCTAGAAAAGCTGCATAGAAAGTCACTAACAAAGACTGTTTATAGAACTCTAAATGAGCTTTACCACCCTTCCTGTAGAAGGGAGGTGTTAGAGTAATGTTTTACTGAAGGTAGTTCCCCATGTGGGTTCAAGGGTCCCATTGTGGGGAAAACTAGAATAGACCCACTAACTCCCCAACAAGCATTTAGGAGTTGACTTATTGGGGACTTCATTCGAAGTCGGAGTGCATCTGCCTGAGTGGCAAGGAACAACCAACTGCAAACAAATAAGCCAGTAAAATGATTGTACACGCAAAACTCAGGCCCCGCCACAAAGTCAAAGTTCAAACAGACAAACAAGCAGGACTTCCTGCTGGAGCTTACAGCTCGTGAACAAAGAAGAAGAAGACTTAAGGCAGTCTTTATTCATCATCATCAAGTGCCTTGTCGACTGGCATGGGCAATCATGCACCCCCATAATCTGTAATTTTCAACAGCTTGAATTAGTTTTGCGCTGACAACCGTCATGCCATGACAATAGGCTTTCAAGAATTTTCTAATTTTGTCTTCCTTTTTGTCTTTTTCAACAGATTTTTCCACTGTCCACACCATGTCCCAGTTTCCTTCTTCCTATATCATGATCAAAAAGTGATGACCGTCTCATTCTGACGTTGGTGAGAAGTTGTCTTTATACCCTCGACTCTTTCAAAACATCTGGTTTAATAATTTACTTGGATATCCCAGGAATTCTTAGAAGGTATCTGTAAAACCACACCTCCGAAGCCTCAAGAATTTGTTTGGCTTCTTTACTGAATGTCTAGGATCCACAGCCATATGTTAAAACCTAGGTCTTTAAAGCAAGCATTATTTTTATAACCTCGAGTGACAGGGATTTATTGCTCACAATTTTCTTTATTTAATAAAAGTGAAGTTTAAGCCTGTCCAATTCTGTTCTTTGTCTCTGTGATTCTTTTTCCATCAGATGTTATCAATGTGCCTAGATACTGACATTTCTGTACTTGTCCTTAATTAACCCCTCTGACTTTTATTTTACATTTAGGTGCTATTCTTTTCTTGAATAATACCATTTCTTCTGTCATCCCTTTATAAAAGCAGAGGCTCATTCTTTTCACTGTCTACCACCACAGTAAGTCCCTGTAGTTCTTTCTGACATGTTGCTAAAGATGATGTAATCAATATAACATAAGTTGTTTATGTTATGACCACCAACCACAATTCATGGCATATCCATGATAAACCTCATTACATATTCACTGTGTAATGAAAAACGGACAACTTGAGACTTCATAACATTACGGCATATGAAGCGACTGAGCGCGCCCTGGCTCGGTTGCCGATCATCTGATAGACTGCGACGCCTAGCGGCACAAGCAGATTTTGACAAAAGAAGAAGAAGAATGAAAATAAACCAGATGAGAGTGCACATCCTTGTTGTATGCCCCTAATGCTCTGAAATGTTCTCAAATGGTTGTTAATTTCTATAGCTGTTGTGTGCTGTCAATACATGTTCTGTATTTTTCATAAATCTTGTCCATCTTTTTTGTTTAATTTTTCTAGTATGATTATTTCTTCATGTTTCACACATTCAAATGCTTTCATATAATCAATGGAACAAGTAAAGATCCATGTTTTTTTTTCTAAAACTTTTTCTGCCAGAGTACTCAGGATTTGTATGACATTGTCTGTACTTTTCATTCTACAATTTCACACTGGTTTTCACTAATTTCTGGTTTATTCTTATTACTTATTCATCTCATTTTATTCTAAGTAACATTTTTGTCATACGACTGATAAGATTTATGGTACAATGGTCCTCACATCCTAAAGTGCCTGGTTTTTGTTTTGCTTTATAGACCAATAAATATGGATTTTAAAAGATCATTAGGAATGTACACACTATTATAAACATCATTTAATAATGGTATTATTATTTCAGTTCCAAAGTGTCCTAAGGCTTCCATTTTCCCCCACTGTGATGATGTTTGGTCCAGGTGCCTTTCCTTTCTCTATGTAATGTAATACATACTGAACCTCTGCAGCTAGTATTTAAAGGTTTTAAATTTAAATCAGTAGTAAATATATTTGCATACACAGAACGCAACACCCCTTGTATTTGATTTTAAACTGAAACAGCCTAATATTTAAAAAACAGTATCAAATCCCTTTCTTGTCAGTTGCATGTCTGGCATACAGTTAGACTCATATTTTGTATAGACCATTCCTCCCTTTATGGGTGATGTAGTAAAAATCACACTAGGCACTTTTATTTGTTAGTTCATTTCCATGTACTTTTTTCAACCTGGGTTGATCAAGATCAATTATAAATATCTACTAAGTGCAGATATAAACCCTTTGGGTCAGCAGGCAAGCATCTAGCTAATGTATGTGGTGGCTCGTAATGGTCAATGACTCACATCCATATAATATTACAGGAAAGATGCACTTTTTAAAATGTTTACGGATGTTGTGCCATTGATGTTGTTATGCAATAAAAGTGTAGATTGGAGAAAGAGACACAAGCTAGTCAATAAACAAGAGTTACGCTCAAGACTGTGTTTGTTTCATGACGAATAGCCAGAAGAGTCCTTTTATCATCTTTACAGATATGTTACAAGACTTTGTTGTACCTTATTTATTCCACTAACCTTAGGAAGACAGCTTTATCTGATCCATAAGCCCCAACTAGCAAATCAGGATATGTGTTTCCATCTTGGTCCAAACCTCCAGCAACAGAAATACCAAATGTTGACAGGGGTGTGTCAATATCTTTGGCATAGATTACCTGGATAACAGCAGTATTGTGCAACAATATAAGAAATCACAAACAGATAAGAGTTATATAACTTATGAAGGCAGTTAAAAGGCTAATTAAATGTGTTTAAACTACCACAATCAGTGACGTGTACAGATATAATAAGAATAAAATGACCATACTCCACATCTTGAGGTTTCATGGTTATGTGGTGTTAATCATTCTATGTACAGACAAATCGATGGGAGCAGAAGTGACCAAAAAAAAAAGCTTAGACTTAATGCTGAAAACCACTAAATATCACAAAAACTCCTGACTGCTGTCTGACACAGTGATGATGATAAACCATTCAAAAGGCAACATGATGTTTTTTGAAATGGGGGTATACAAAAATACCCTCCATGTCAAAGTCAGAAAGAAAAAAGAGAAGTACTAATCAATTCAAGAATGAATTGCTGACTGACATTACAGACAGACAAAATAGGTTATGTCAGGAACTAGCTTGCAAAAAAAAAAAAATTACAGAAACTCAAAAGAATGTTTTTCCATGACGCAAACAGTTCATTGGACAATTTGTGCCTGGTATATTTTTGTGTATCTTGTTAGGTCCATTACTTCAGTTACATCAATAAATAATGAAGGACATAAAAATTAATCCTTACCACAGAAATATACACCTTGAGTCCCAGGTTGACCCAGCCTTGAGTGGGTACTGGGTGCAGTCCCAGGAAGCAAAGGCGGCTGGCATGATGCTGACCACATCACCCATCTTGTGCTGATTTGTCTATAAAAATATGTGTCTAGCCCTATACGCCCTATACATCTAAAGGCGTGGAAGAGGGACTTTTCCTTTTTTTTTCAACTTAAATATACAGTTCACAATTTTTTAGTTACAATCTAGCTCTCACCAGTAGAAGTTCAAACCAGTCAAGTGATTACCATGAAGTGTTAACATGAGCCACATGCTCTCTCTCTCTCTCTCTCTCTCTCTCTCTCTTCTTCTCTCTCTCTCTCTCTCTCTCTCTCTCTCTCTCTCTCTCTCTCTCTCTCTCTCTCTCTCTCTCTCTCTCTCTCTCTCTCTCTTTTGTGTGTGTGCATGACATTGAATTGTTTGTTTTTATTTCCTAGATTCTGCCAAATTCAGTAATAATTCATTCTGTGTGTTAAATAAAGCACCATCCCTATCAGTTACATCAATTTACATACTTGTAGGATCTGCACTCAATTGTGTATGGCCTGACTCTGGGCATATAAGTACATAACTGATAAGGGCTGTATTGTTTAAAGTAATAACAGAGTCGAGAGTAGAGAGCCAGCAGAAAGACAACATCAAGAGTTTGAGCCCTAACTGAAAGAACTTTAAAAATAAATAAGTAGTAGTGGGGTCAGAACTTGTTGAATTGTATGTGGAGTGTGGATATTACAGTTAGCACCCCTGATTTTCCAAATTAAAGTATATGGCATCAGAATATTCATGAGAAACATGACTGATATTAACACTGTTTCATTTATAACTTCTATTTTGTATGATAGCAAAAAAGTGATAACCTAAAATGTAACTTGTTGCAATCATTTGTTAGACAATCATTGTAAAATGACTACTAAGATGAAGTCACTGAAAACATGTGCAGTGATACCTCGACTTACAAACCACTCTGCATAAGAACTTTTTGAGATATAAACTTTTCTTCACATTACATTTCAACCTTCACATGTAAACCTGGATTGGAGATATGAGCTGTGACTAGAAGGACCTGAAAGTGAAATTGACACGGTAGATACAGTTGTCTACACATGCAAGACAATCATTTGGAAGGTGATGAAGCAGACATAGAGGAGCCAATAGGGGAGCGTAATACTGAACTGACCACTACAGAGCTAGCTACAAGAGTTAAGAACCAAACAGGAACAAGTAAGGAATGGGGGTAAGAGCAAATGTTTTCATAAAACAAGGACAGTGATTTAAAAAAAAAAAAGAACAATCCTAACATGTGATGTAAAACACATTGTGCAGCATTGGTGCAAAGGAAGGGGGGGGGGGCGGGGGTGAATTAGAAGAATTAGTGAGCAAGTAGATTGAAACTGTTGTTTTTCTGAGCCACCAATATCTTTAATGACAATGTCATTAATCATTTTAGAAAAGTCTTCAGGAAACAACAGACACAGACAATGATACATTTTTTTAAAAACCTTCTTTACCAAAGAAACAGAAGGAAGCCTCTCACAATTGATAACAGGAATTATAAGATATAAATGAAAACTGGATTTTGAGATATGAACTTTTCAATATAAGAACCACAGTCAGGTACACATTAGGTTTGTGAGTTACCACTGTATTTGTAATATTTTAGGAACCTACCTGGGAAACCTCTGTTATAATACCCTTTTTAGATCCATGGAATATATACACTGCACCTGTCTTGTCTTCACCTGCATAGGGTGCTCCAACACACAAATCTGTCAGACAAATGTATAAGTCAATAACATTTCATTGTTCTGATCATTCAGTACATGTTGTTTTTTAGCTTCTTACTTAATATGTTATGAGATTTCATGAGACATCATAAGTTTTTTAAAAACTGCTATTTTTTCTTCTTCTGTGCAATAAGGGGGCTGCGTAGTCAGTAAGAAGAAGAACGGAGCACTCATGAGTTACTACCCGTGTGCCATGATGTTGATCCGTTGTTCAAACTTGTTGGTAATAAAGAAATTACAATAATACACTTTTATCATGCATGTTATAACAGAGAACTAAGAAGATTTGGTATGAGATTGGTTAATACACCTCGTAGAAAACTTTAACTGCAAAATGCAGCCATTGTTAGGTTGGCTAGCTTGACATGACTTGCAATTTCAGATATATCTTTTTCCTTTATTTCCACCTTGTCTAAGTGCTAAATCCCTTTCTGCAGCACTGCCTTGTAATAATCTTGTTACATAATCACTGTATTTGATTTACTGCTTTCAGTTCAACAAAATCTCTTCATCTTCGATCCTTCTGTCTGAAAACATTTCAGGAGGCTGGCAGCCTTTATGAAAGATATCGTGGAGTCCAAATCTCTGTGTGTACTACAAGTATACAGCTTTGTCTTCAGTGCGGTTTGAACAGGCCAGATTGTGTCTCTGTTGGCAGCATACAGTTGATAGTGTCAGAGTACATGCTCAGCATTTTCTGGTGCAAAGCTGTAGGACACATCTCCATGATTTTTTACACGGAAGTCTTTTGCACCCTGTCTTTAGTCTGAATATAAAACACTGTGCCTCTCTAGAAATGTGATTAAGTGAGTCTTGAGGAGAAAATCTGGTGTGTGTATCCAGCCACCTTTCTTGGATACTAGATTGTATTAACACCTTATCTCTTAGTGGGTTAACTAACTATTTGATTGTATCACGCCATTGTCTCTTCTAGCCAATCTGTGTGCTATTTCTTTGCCTTCCAAGCCACAGTGACCTGGCATCCACTGCAGTACAGACTGTTCTACTGAAAAGCCTAGCTGAATCAGTTGTTGTATGTCAAGTCTACAAACTGTGTGTCTTGGGTTTACAACTACTGTACAACTGACATAGCATCAGTCAAAAAGACCACTCTGATATATTTGCTGTGCTGTTGTCACTTCAGGAAAGTTCACCAAAAAAGCATTTGCCTCTACTCTGTATTAGAGGAATATGAGCCTGCTGGTATAGCATGTTCAGTTTTTAAACTTTTTTGGCATTCTATGTATATTCCTCCTCCTCTGTCTCTTATTGCTCTCTTTGCTGAATCATCTGTATAAACTCTAATCCAGCTCTGATGTGGATAAAGTCTGTTGATCTCTCCTTCTGTAAGGACTTCATATCAGTGCTGCTCACAAATGATTTGGAGGAGATCCTTATTACAATGGTTCTGGGAGGTTGTGGGTGGGGAGGGAGGGAAACAGTGGTTGCATGGTTTTGGTGGTACAATTGGTACTATGGGAGGGAATTTGACATCAGCAAGATTGGCATTTGCATTCTTTCTGAAACAAGTTCTCTTCAGTCTAGTCCTCTTTTGTTTTTTCATTTGGTTGTGCATGAGTTGTTATTTTAAGTGGTGGTATTTGAAGAGCTGAATGAGGTGCTTTGTGTCTCTCCTGTCTTCCACAGCATGCAGACCAGTAATTGTTTCCATGTCTGATTTGGGCGTGGAGTGCATGCCCCCTGTCATAAGGTGGAAAGCATGTGAATCTTTCAGACTTTCTGAAAATTTGATTTAGCTGCTGTATCCAAAGCAGCTGTCCCATATTCAGGTGTCAGCCTGTATAGGTTTTCTTGAGGACACTGAGGTTTGCCTCCCAGTTTGTTCCAGCTAATTTCCTAATCAGCTGAGTTATCTTGAGTTCCTTGATCTTATTCTTTTCTAAATGTTTTCTCCATGTGAGCCTTGATTCTTCTTTTTCTTCTTTCGCTTTAAATTGATTATCTTTATCTGCAATGTTGTCTCTAATTTAAACTTCACTGTCATTTATAATTCACTCAGCAACCCATAAAGTTTGACATGCACCGATGTTTCTCTTGGCCAAAATATGTACCTTGATATGTTGCATTTGGGACAGTCTTGGAGGACATGAACTGTTGTATCAGGTGCCAGTCCACATGTGCACGTGGCTGATTCACTGATTTTAAATTTAGTGTACATGTGACTGCGAAGTCGGTTGTGTCCTGTTCTAAGGCGTAGAATAATAACTTGCTCTGGTCTGTCCATAAAATGGTAATCGTCTTGTGCCAGTTTTGGTGGCTTTCTGATTGATTTGATTATTCTCTTTTATTGTTGATAAGAGGCTGGTACTTCAGGTTGTTTTTCATTTGCACCTTCCTTAGCTAGTTTATCAGCTCTTTCATTTCCAGAAACTCCACATTGGGATGGTATCCATTACATAGTTACTTTACACCGGCTGCCTAGTTTGGAGAGTAGTGTTCGTATACCAGGTAGTTTTCCACACTGGAGTGCCTGAAGTACCCCTCTTGTATCTGTCAGAAATACCACGGGTATTTGAGTCTTGATTCAAGGTTACTCATAAGTACGATAGTGAGCAATCATGCTTCAGTGCCTGTATGCCATACATGAGTGAAGCTTTCGGGTGTTTGGTGGACAGACTGAATATGGTGTGTCTGGTTTTGGTCCCATTTACAGGCATATACGATCTATTAGATCGCTTCTCTAGATTTTTGAGGGGTTCCGGAAGCCTTGTCTGTGCAGCTGGACTATACCCCTCTGAGCTCAGTAGCACCAGATCATTGGCATACATGACAGCTTGAACTCCATTACAGAGGGTTAATTTTATGTCATTAATATGAAGAAGGAAAAGAACTGGGGACAGACTTCTGTATTCTGGGACTCCATAACACTGATGCTGTACCTACTTGCTTACCAGTATAGTCCTCATTTTTTTTTGGGGGGGGGGGGGGGGGGGGGGGGGGCTAATTCATTATACAATTAAAGACAAAGGTATTTTATCAGTTGTTTTTCTAATTTTTCTTTTTTTAATTTGTCATCAGTCTAAATCTGATACTTTTAGAAAAATTTGCTTGTGAAATAGAAGTAGACTTGTAAGGATTCTACATATTTGTGTTTATGAAGCAGAAACAGACTTGTAAGCCATCTACAGATTTGTTTATGTAACAAAAGTGGACTGGTAAGTTGTCTACCCATCTGTGTTTATGTAACAAAAGTGGACTTGTAAGTCCCCTGTCTGTCTGTGCTGCATGAGACTTACCATCATATCCATCAAAATTAATATCCCCAAGACCACTCATTGCTATACCAAATCGAGAACGACTGGACTGCCCATCAAGTATGTCCCGTGTCCGTGATGGGAATGTTCTCTGTAATCAAACAGTATATACAAGCATTCACAACAGCAATTTTTAAATATATATTTCTCCAGTTTATTTAATTTGTTGTAAAATCAGTATTGTTAAGATTAAATAAGGAAAAAGTTGAAGCTTATCCTTACAAAAACAGAACTGAGCTAACAACGTAATACATGAGACAAAAACTCAATATAAAACTTGCAAATTAACCATGAGGACATTCACAGAAAGGATTATATAAGTGGTATAGAACTTTTAAATAAATATAAAAACCATAAAAAGAAAATAATACCAAATATCTCCATTCAATTAGCTCCAAATTCACTACAAATGTGCAAATGTGCAAGTAATTATCACATACCTCGGTTTTTCCTTCAGCATTTGTCTGAGAAAAAATATTGAATTTTTTTATGATAACATCTACATGATCAATGTAATATAACTATTTTCATTCTCACTATTAAAGTATAAAAATCTAATGATCAAACTGTAAACATTATAATGAAACAAAATGACTGAAAACAGAAAGTTATGATTATAAATAAAGTTTGTTCATGACTTATGACACTCCTGTGTTCTTGCTGAGTATTCTTACTTTCCACTTTCTTACAAAAACCTTGACCAAAGTCTTGTTTTGACATCAGTTTGATAGCAGTCCAATTATGTTTCATTTGATAGTTGTGACTTATATAGAAAGCAAAGCAATAGCATGTATTCTGGGCAGCAAAGATTTACTTTGTATATCTTTCTTTTAGCACGAATACTAAAAATATGAGGTCATGAGAGCCTATTTTTACTGAAGTCAGTATGTGTTCAAGTTTAGTATACACCATTTATTTGTCTGAAAGTATCTAACCATACCACCAAAGACTGATAGAGACTTCAGGAATTCATGAATTACACCTTGATTTTGGCATTACATTTGTTTATAGGAATATAAAGAGTGTTGTGATTTCATTTCTTAACTTAATCCTTTAGTCCCATCAATGTGGAAAAAAGAATTGGTATTAACCCATGGAAATTCACAGAACAATCCTTCAAAAATAAACATTTTACAGTCACAATAATTTATCCTATTGTATTTTACTATACTCAGAACTTTTTTTTTTTTTGGGTGGGGGGGGGGGGGGGGGGTTTTCTATATAAATATATAAAGAAGTATGAAAGGGGTACATGTGTAGAGTGAAGCATTATATGGAATACATTCGCTGGGCCTAAAACAACAAAACAATATGTATTGTGTGATGCATGCTGTGACCCATTGACCTCTATCCCTGAGGCTTACATGTACATTAAAACCAACTTAGATTTAGAAACCTATTGGGGTCATTAAAAAAGAAACTAACTGCTATTTGCAGTTACTATATTCATATCTGGTCTATTGAGCACTGCGCACATAGTACCAACAGAATTTAACTATGCCTTTTCATAGAACAGGTCAGTGCAGTCAGGTAGCACTGGTATTTATGGGGCTGTATAACAACAGGAAGTATCTAGTCTTGTCTTTTCATTGGGACATGAGTGCAGGGACTGGCCAGCTGGTGCTGCAGAATCAGAAGTTCAACAAATGATTCATGATAATTCCCGCCCAAGTGATGTGATTATCTATACAGATGGCTCTGTGGTGAGAGGCAGACGAAGTGCATGGGGGTTCATAGCAAAGGCAAATGGACGTCGCTTGGCGCAACAAAGCCTGGCATATGATATCACAACGCCTAGCTTGAGAATGGAGGTGGAGGCAGTCACTGCTGCCTTCCGTTGGCTTGAAAATCAGCTGTACACACATGTCGTCATTGTAACTGACTCACAGAGCATGGTGAGAAAGGTGGAGAAGGCATGCTTCATGCAGAGTGGCAAGCATCACTTCAGAGGTCCCGGGTAGTTAGCATCCTTTGGATATTTTTTCCAGGTCACGCCTGTGTGTTGGGAAATGAGCAGGCAAATAGACTGGCCAGTTCTGCACCACTTGGTGATGAACTGATATATGACAAGCTGGATGTTGTGAGGGCCCTTTTGGAGCGAGTGAACAGTGCCGAGGAACAGATAGATCATTACGGTCTGAGGAGAATGGCACTCTGAGGAGTTACAAGGGGATCTGGCCGACGCTCGACACTCGGGGGAGGGACAAGACAGATATACAATCAGACTGTTGCTGGTACCATTGGAATTTTAACTCTTCGCTTGCTGCTGAAGATGGGGACAGAGCGCTTATGGGAGTGTCCCGAGTGCTGTGATGTTGATTCTCAATTCAACATTCAACATTGTATTTTCAGGGCAAATGGTTAGCAAAAACTCAACCAGTGGCTTTAGGATAGAGGTTTTTTTGGTTTTTCTTCTTTTCTTCTTAGCGTTCAAAAGCTGTAAACTCCAACAAAAAATTATGGTATTTGTCCACTTCTGACCTTTTATCTAGTTCCAGAGCTTAAGTTTTGCATGCTCATCTGTTCTACACATCTGGCTTACTTATATTCAGACTGTTGGCTATTCAGGCTGATGCACTCTGCCTTCAAAGGAAAAACCCCTAATTAGTCATGTTTTATGACTTGTTCTTAGGGAGCAATGGGTCTATCCTTTTTTTTAAACCCCAAAATGGGGCATTGAAACCCAAATGGAAATTGCCTGTTTTTTTGGTTTTCATTATCAATGCTAGAAGTGAGCAGTGCAGATTTTAAAAAAAGTTTTCAACCAAGTAACATTAGCTGTGCAATTACTTTAACTGTCCAAATCTGTTGAATGAATGAATTGAGAACTGACATCACTGCACTTTGGGAATTCCCATACATTCTGTGTACCTTTTCTCATCAGCCAACAAAGTGTTCCCATACTGATATTGCAGTTGCAACCTGATTAAATCTCCTCTTGTCATTTCCTCTGTGCACTGAAAACTGTCCAGACCCTGTGACTACTCCCCAGTGAATCAATATTTTAAGGTATGGATACTCAGTCAGTTCCACTGCACTGTTCACATTACTCTGTTGAGAGGACTGTCCAGCCTAAACATAGCTAATGAAGACTTGGATGAAGATACTTATGTAAAGTTGTCCACATGTTGACCCTCTTGGTACAATGTCCTCAATAGAAGCAAATGATCAGCAAAGAGGGAAACGTGGCCTGGCCTACTTTTACTGTGTGCATATTGAACAGTAACTTCAGATTGGTTCAAAATGCAGACTGTTAATTCCTCACCTCTCAGACAAAAACACAATGACTTCAAAGGAACCTCCCTAATTAATCACCTCCTATGGTATGCTTATTTTAGGAGAGAGTAGACCTATTTGCACCAGTTCTCTCCCTTTCCATAATAAGAGGCCCTACAGCCCACACTGGAAAACATTCTGTTAAGTCTCATTAACATATATTACAGTTCTGTAGTGAACAATAAAATAAAATTATGTAATTAAAAATCTACATAATTATGAAATGTGGTGTTGAATGATGATACAGTGAACATCATCATTTAGGAGGTGATCTCTAGATGATACATGAAGAATCTTTCAAACAAATTTCATTCCAATTTGTTTTCCTTCAAGTTTGGATGCTAAAGTCCACCAAGTTTCACAGCTGTATGTAAAGGTTACTGATAGCCAGTGTAAAAGCAGTCATATTTTTAAGACACAAGACTCCTATGGAAAATTATGAAAGAAAAAATACAGAGGAAAAGGAAAAAGAGGGTGACCCAAGAAATAAGAACACCACTGTAAGGACATTATGTCTTTTGACATAGCTGATGAGACAAAGGACAAGTAGAATAACTTAATAAGATGACTTCTTGAAGTCTTTAGGCTTACTATACTGCTGATAATGATTTAAAAACTGTTCCTCTGTAAAAAAGATAAATCTTACATTGCTTGTTTGGTAATATATGTACACTCTTCCAGTGTCGTAGGTATCAGATGATTCAAAATTTGCATACATTGGAGCCCCAACAATTACATCATCCATTCTGGAAAACAATACAAAAACAATTTGTTTTCTCAGTTTAGTGTTTGGATTTTTCTACTGATAATGAATTCTTGAAATAAAAAAATTATCTATTAAACATAGACTGCATTAATTAATTTTTTTTTAAAGTAATGAACAACTACTGTCATCTTTTTTTAAACAACAAAAAAACTGGAGTGTAAAGTGGATAGTAAACTGTACAGGATACATGAAGATGTCCGGGATTTAAAGTGTCTACAGTTTAAGATGTCTTGGTGGAGTTCAAGATGTCCAGAATCTACGATGTCTAGGGTTCAAGAATCTAAGTTGTTTAGGATTCAAGATGTCAGGAATATAAGATGTCTAGGGTTCAAGAATCTAAGTTGTTTAGGATTCAAGATGTCCAGAATCTAAGATGTATAGGGTTCAAGAATCTAAGTTGTTTAGGATTCAAGATGTCAGGAATATAAGATGTCTAAAGTTCAAGATTGTCATGAATATAAGATGTCTAAGGTTCAAGATGTTCAGAATGTAAGATGTCTAGGCTAGGGTTCCCATGAGTAATTGGTTATGGTATCTCCTGTCTTTACCTTGAAGATGACATAGACATACTTCACCAAGTCATGTTAGCATCATCACCATTGTTCCCCAACCTAGTCGGTACAGAGTTGATAATATCAGCTCTGTCCATGCTTCTTACTTGCCACCAGGTCAGCTCTCTCCTTACTATTTACTCCTGCATGGTGTGTAGATCCAGATGATAGAGGTTAACTGCGACTTTTGAATGCTTTCTACCCATTCGGAGCGTAAACTCTCTGTAGCGATTTTCTGAAGCATGTTAATAGAATCGGAAACGATTACCGCATGTGTGGTCGCTTGTTCTGCTACCCATGCAAGTGCTCTGGAAGCAGCAGCTATCTCCACAGTCATGTTTGACATAGCACCACTGTCCTCTTTTATTGATTTCTCCATCCTTTGTGCTGTGTATGCCCATGCCGATCTTGATCCATGCTTCACCGATCCATATGTGTAAATGACAATGTCTCCTGGGTGTAAACGCTGATCAATCAGTCCCCTAATCTAGGCGTCTTTGGTGGCAGGCATCTGACTCCTGCAGTAGCTCCCCAGTGTTATGACAACCTTAGACAAGTCATACATGTCTACCGGTGTATCCATCCATTCTCCTCCATGACTAATCTCGTCTGGGTCACATACTTGATTAATTAGATGTTCTGCCTTGGCCAACCAAGAGGTGCCTCTTTTCATATGCATCCCTTATTATTCTATTTTATTTACATTATCCTCCATATTATTTAGACTGAGTCCTCTGGCATATGTATATTCAGTTGTCCACATTATGTATTCGAATTGCTCAAATGATCACATTAAGCATATTTTTGATCTCATTAATACTCATTGTACAAAGATATATTTGGTGAAAGATTACAACCCTGCTTGACATCTGATTTTCTTTCAATAGATGAATAATTATTATCATCTACATAGATGCTTTTTGCTGTTCACATTTCTTTACAATAATGAAATCTGTTCATCTATGTCCAAGATGGATTTCAGCATTTTAATATTTTTGTTTGTATGATGCCTTGGAATAATCTGTAAAATACATGACTTTATTTCATATTCATGCTGTGATTGTAAATGACTCACAGAGCATGTTGAGAAAGGTAAAAACAGGCTTGCTTAATGCAGAGTGGCAAGCATCACTTTAAGAGTCCCAGATAGTTAGCATATTTTGGATATTTTCTCTAGGGTATGCCAGTGTGTAGGAAAATGAGCAGGCAGATAGAATGGCTGGCTCTGCACTATCTGATGTTGAATTGGTGTATGACAAGTTAGATACTGTGGGGGCCGTTGGGAACGGGCGATCAGTGCAGAGGCACAGATAGATCAATACGGTCAAAGGAGAATGGCGCTGCAAGGAGTTACCAAAGGATCTGGCTGATGCTTAACACTCAAGGGATGGATGAGAGGGATATACAATCAGACGGTTACTGGTACCATCGGAATTGGAACTCTTTGCTCGCTGCTGAAGATGGGGACTCTGCACTTATGGGAGTGTCATGAGTGCTGTGATGTCGATTCCTAATTTAGCATTCAACATTTCATAAAGCAAGTCTCTAACAAATCAATTTTTTTAAATAGAAAAACTGTCAGTACACCATTAATATCTTTTATTTATTTTCTTTATGAAATACAAAAAGAAACTGGACAAGAGGTAAAAATAATGTGTAGGCAATTTTCTTATCCAAAAAAAAAGTATAGTACAGCATATATATATATATATATATATATATTAGTTGATTTCTTTACAACAATACAATTATTTACCCACCTATCCCCATTTAGGTCTGCCACTGCCAAAGAACTCCCAAAGTATGCTCCAATCTGAAATTAACAAGCTAAATAATATCATAAAAGTAAAATGCTGGTGATAAGTGAACTGACTAAGTTACAAAGTTGATTTTATTTATAATTACATATAATGTATATTATAAGTCCTGTAAAACGTCCTATAGAGTTTTGGGAAATGACATTCTGGTCTCAAGACTCATTTTTAACCCCAATTGCACCTCCATGAGGTTTAGGATGGTAACACATTTTGGCTGGGCTTACATATATAGGGACCGAGTAGCCATAGGTGGACATCTCTGTGGTGCCCTCTGTTGTTAGCAGAAGTGCTTCAGAGCAGAGCATTCACTCGCCCTGACAATCTAGACGGGGCCCAAAGAAGACAAGAAATACTGACATTTTAAAAGATCTGAAAATCAATGAAGATTGGCTATTAAACAGCATCTTGTCTCAGAATCTCTAATATTTTAACACCACGGTAGAGCAGGAAAGGATTGGAAAGAATAATATCAGAAGGCATGGTGCCAGAAAAGTGGGGCAGGGACTAACTAGTGTGAAGATGGGCACAAGATATAAGTGACACCTTAGGAAGGGAAGTGCATGAGGCAGAAGAGCTGGTGAGAGATTGAGTTTCTTTCATGTAGGCCATGATGAGAGTGATGTTCTGAAAAATACCTGCTACATGATGATAATAAACTATGACTTGAAGTGATAATAAACTATGACTCGAAGTGACGACAAATTCAGAGTCACAAATGAAAATTATGACCAAAGTTTTTCTTTATCAACAAACAAATAAAAAGTTGAAACTTAAGTCTTCATTTATCAAATAATAAATACAATTTAAAAAAAAATAGTGTTGAGTAATCTCACTGTCAACAGTTCTTTATACATTTTGTTTTTAAATCCTACATGTACTTTTAAGCAGCCATTATTATTTACTAATACAGTAGCAGGGGAACCATGGTAGGATAGTGTTTAGAGCTTGCCTGCCAGTCCAAATGTTCTAGATTCAGATCTGCATTGAGAAAAAAATGTTCAAGTGATCATGACTCCAGGTCCAGCCCAGGTAATGTCCTGGGAAGTAAAGGTAGCCTTCATGATGTAAACAACATCACCCATCAAGTGCCAGTTGGTCTATACAAATGTGGGTATAGCTCTATGAGCCTGATGCATCAAAAGCCTGAAAAGGGACTTTTACATTTGTAAACAGTTAATTTTTGCCAGATGTTCTCAAAGTGTACATTAATTCAGTGTTGTCACAGAACCACCCAAACATATTATGTTTGATTCAAATACCACCGGATATAGGTTTGCTGTTTCTCAGTGATGGCAGCCCATTATCTAAAAAGTATTCAGAATTCTAAGTCATTAAAAGTGTCAACTGAGCTGACTTCTTCATTCCAGAGAAACTGTGACCGCAAAATCTAACCAGTTTAATCAAGCCTAAAACATAACATGAATTGGTTTAGCGTGTATGCTCCACTGAGATGTAAGGAGAAAAAGGAAGACCACATATGTAAGGGCAGTACACACACACCAAAAAAAAAATGCAAAACAAATATAATATAATACCTGCTCTCCGACTAGTGTTCCTAATTTTGTCAAATTCTGACTGAACAAATCCACCTGGTGAAATAATGTAAAACAGAATTAACCACCAGATACAGCTGACAGCTATTCTCAAAACACTTACAAATATGACACTGGTTAACAACAAATTATTGTAGAATGTGTAATTCTTGTTTTCAGACTTTGTGATTCCATCACCCCCTCACCCCCTCTCTCCCCCCCCCCCCCTTTTTCCCCCAGTCTGAAGGTTTGACATCCTGAGATCATGAAATCCTAATCTGGATGGCAGACCAACAGGGCAAAATCTAGATACTCTGTTTACTCTGATGTTATAATTGGGGCACTCGTAACAATCACACCAGGCTAAAGTAGCATGCAGTCCTGTGTGGGTAAGGCTGAACTGACTTTGTGATCAAAGTGCTCAAAGCTTGTTTGCTGAAGTGACAAGGGTTAGGTTGGAGAGTAATGAGGGCATTAAATGATATACTGAGGGAGGATTTTCCACAAAATATACATCAAAAAGTGTAATTCTTCCTGCTATTAAAAATACTAAACAATTACTTCTAATCTCACTTGTAACTGCCTTTGGTGTCATTTACCTTTCCTAGATGGTACTCTCCCTTTGGTGTTCCAACAATATAGTCTGCAGAATAAAGGATTTGTAATTAAAATAGGATATCTTAATCATTATTATCATTTCATGTGCCTTGTCAATTTGTATGGGTGATCATGCCTCTCCACAAACTTCGAACTGCAACAGAATGCAACAGAATGTATCAGTTCATGTTCTGACACTCTTCCATGTCATAATAAAAGGCTGTCAACAATCTTCTATCTTCCTCTATCTCTCTTTCCAAAGATTTTTCAGTCACCACAACATGTTCCAAATAGGTGCAATCTGCTCTCTATTTGTTACATGCATTATTCCCAAATCTCTTCTTCTGTTTTTACTAATGTGCATGTAGTTATACCCCTTGCCTGGGTGTACAACATAATAGAAAGGACACACAGATGATCCTTACATGCACCCCAAGACTTTACCACTAAAAGAGAAGAACAGGAGTACCCTGTGTATGTGTGTGCACCTCTGTGTACGTGAATGTGTGCATGTGTGTGTGTGTGTGTATGCACACCTGTGTCTGTGTTTACTGAGAAGCTGATCTATTCTGTTCATTTGAATATGCCTCTGTTGTGTGATGTTCATTAATATTCTTTATTATTATTACTTTTTGTTAAAAATTGTAGAAATTAATTTTCAAGTCTCATGCTAACTTTCTTCTCTGTATGAATATTAATGGTTATATTTTCCTGGCCACAAGTGGTCCCTTTTTGAATGGACAGTTTAAAAGGTGAATGACCATTTTTACTAACTAACTAACTAACTCCAGAATCCTAAAACAAGCATATACTAAAGCAGTCAGGCCAGTCATGGAATATGCCTCCACTGCATGGGCTGCAGCAGCCAAGACAACAATGGGAAAACTGGAGAAGGTTCAGAATATGGGATTAGGAATTGTTTTCGGAGCCATGAAAACCACCCCCATCAGAGAGATAGATAGGATAGCAGATACTGAACCACTCGAACTCAGAAGACAATACAAAATCTTTTACAGTATGAGAAATTAAAAAGACTTGAAAGTCACCCACTGCATTTTAAATTTCAAGAGAGTGCAAAAAACAGACTTAGCGTCAGAGCTCCAACCACCTTGCTAGAGAACTGTACAGACAGCACCAAGATCTGCTTGAAAGAGATGTAGCACTGTGTGAAAAACTTAGGCCAGAACCATGGACAAGCAAGGCTGAGAAGGCAAATGTAGCCCTAAAGGTACCAGGGATTACTTCAAAAGATGCCCAGACGGAGACACAACAGAGAACCATGGCTCTGGCTATGCTTGATGAGAATTATCCAAACACCACTTGGACTCAGGTTTTCACCGACGGCTCTGCTACAGATGCAGTCAGAAAGGGGGGTTGTGGAATATACATTAAATCCCCTAGTAGTAGAGCAGAAACTCTCTCTCTACTAGCAGGTGACATCTGCACCATTTCAGAGCTGAGGCAACTGCCCTCCTTTCTGCAGTCCAACATCTCATCACTCAAATTGTTATACTTAGTAACTCATTGTCTGTTCTCCAAGCACTATCCAGCAAAAAAACAAGACAAACTAATTGCAGATCTAAGGACCAACATTGGCTTACTCTCCAAGGAAGCAGAACTGGTCTTGCAGTGGATACCAGCCCACTGTGGTATTCATGAAATGAGAGAGCAGATGAGTTGGCAAAAATTGGGAGTAATCATCCACAGCCTCATCCACCACACAGCTACAAGGAAACCAAAGCAGTGCTAAAGCAGTCTTTCAAGCGGGAGTGGAGAAGGCAGAATTGAGATTACAGACCAGAAAGTGACAGCATAAACAAACTCAACAGGAAAGAACAAACATCCATTTTTAGACTTCGTACTGGACACTGTGGTCTTCGAGCATACCTGTACAGGATAGGCATAAAAGAATCTGCTGCCTGTGATTGTAGAGCAGAAAGACAGACCCCTGGGCACATACTGCAGTACTGCCCTTACCTCTCCCAGCAAAGACTGTGGATCTGGCCCAAGGGAGCCACATTGCAAGAGAAGCTATGGGGGACTGGTGGCGACCTTAAACGCACAATCCTATTTGTGACCCAGACGGGACTCAATGTTTAGCATGACTGATGTCGAATGCAAAAGCAGAAGAAGAACCATTTTTACACCAGTGGATATGATAGCCAAACAAAGTAAAGGTGACCATTTTTACACCAGTGGATATGATAGCCAAACAAAGTAAAGGTGACCACTTTTACACCAGTGGATATGATAGCCAAACAAAGTAAAGGTGACCACTTTTACACCATTAGATATGATAGCCAAACAAAGTAAAGGACCCTTCTTACGCAGTGGTACTTAAAGGGTGATGTGGTCAGTATCACCTTGGCCAGGTTTTACTTTTCAGGACTTGAACTAGTTCTCATTTCAGACTGGGTCAGCATGACAGCCAAGGTAATTTTGTTTTCAAATCTGACGCAGCACAAATTCAAACTCAAGACCTTTGGGCTAGCAGGTTAGCATCTAAATAATACTCTTGTTTGACTCAAGAGTGTGGTCAGATGTTGATACAATCTGCACTTGTGTTTCATAAACTAAATGGTTTTACAATACAACATTTCAACCTACCATCACTACTGTCTCCATCAAACTCTCCAATGGCACTAGCATATCCTGTTATTGCAATGGAAAATACATGGATAATTAATTCAGCTGAACTTTTTAAAATTTTTATGTGCTCTTTGTGTTGAACAAATATCAATAATTCTTTTTAATTTCATAAAAATTGCACAGTTAAGGAAAACACACACTACCATTCGTACTGACTGACTGACTTTCTACCCCTCTTAGACATCACAAAAGCGATAATCATCCGATGACACAAAGTGCCACCATGTGGATGATGATCGCCGTGGAGAGGTCCCAGAAACCGCGTTCAGACAATTGGCCATATTTATGGCCTGCCTATATTGCGGCCCCTGGCAAAAGCCAGGGTGGGGCTTCAAATAACAAAAAATTTCGTCCTAAAAAGGACGAAACTGGATTAATAACAATCATCATTCGTACATTAGGACAGAAACTTTCGGACAGAAACTTTAGTTTGTTTGAATATAGTAATTATTTTAGTAAACATAATTTGAACATGCTCCAGTGTAATTTCATTCAAATTAGTAAAACAAAGAAATTATTTTTAAATTCTACAATGTCTGTATTAACAATTTTAATTTATCTGATTATATTTGTAATCATAATTAATTCTTCAAACATAAAAAAAACAAAAAAACAATGCAACTATTGTTAAATTCTAAGAAAGGTGAAATAGTTCCACTGTTTTAAAAAAAAAGGAAAGATACTAGATAATCTACAACATTTCTGGGGATTGTCTGAAAAGATGATGAGGAAGGCAACTGACCGCCACAAAACATATATCACAGCTTAGCGTGTGTTGAGACTTACTATCACTTCACATTTTCCACCACAGTGGCAGTATGTTTTGTGGGATTATTATCATTAGCCAATTCTTCGATGGCAATATTTGTTGATATGCAAAAACACATTCCCAGTGTGGGTTTCAGGTTTCACTAAAGGAAAAAAAAAATACCAACACCCCCCCCCCCCCCCCCCAGCCTCCCAACAAGCATGTCATAAAAGTCAACTAATTAAGAGTGATTCATTAAAAGTTGTAGTGCATTTGCCTGAGAGGCAGGGAACGTACAGTTCACATACAGGTATGCGGAAAATAAGTGTGCATGCAAAGCTCAAGTTCTGTAACAAGACTAAAGTAGAGAAGTGAATGATCAACCAGGACTTTTCATTCAAGTTACAGCCAGTGAAGGCCAGAAAGAAGAAAAGAAAGAAGAAACATATGATACAGCTCCTAATTAAACAATTTGCTGGAGTAGTTCACTCTTAAAGTGATGAATAATTTCACAGCAGACACCCCAAAGGGATACAGTAACCACTAGGAAAAAGCTGGAGTGAATTACTTTCAAACATAAATAATATTACATGCTATATTTATACAGATTTAATTTGTAACAAACAAATCAAACATACAAGACAGAAAAGGACACAAAATGCTGCTTGAAGCACACGAACAGGCTCTCCTCACACATAGTTTAGTATTTAGCACAGAAAGAGTTGACGCCCTTGAATGACTTGCAATAGATTTTTTGCTACAAAGACTACCATTTTATTTGCACTATGAAGCTGTAAACCAGATCACACTAAAGATTCTTAACAATGTGCATAGATCAAAGTTGCAGAAGTGACAAACCTCCTGTTGAGTACACTCCTGAGTCTCAAGATTCTATAAATACTCTTCTGTCTGTAGATTTTTAATTCTGATTTTTAGTGATAGCAGTTACAAAAAGGCAGCTTACTCCTTACAGTTTCTAACAGCTAAGGAATTTAATGTGCTCAGTTAGCATAAGAGATACTTGATACTTCTCAATGTTAGAGAAGGCCAGCTAACTGATCAACTATCCAGATGTTAGAGCAGATGTTATTTTGAGTTTCTTTGAAGAAAAAAATAATCTTTAACTATACTGTCCCCAACTAGACTGGGATCCTTTACTTTTTAAAATAATTTATCTTCCTATACTGATTGTCTTTATAAGCCATCTGTAGGGGAGTCAGGTATTTTTTCTTATCAAAGGAAAATCCAGATGTATACTGCCCTACATCAAGAACTAAAGAATAGAAACTCTTCTCACAGACATTTTATTCAGTTCTACACAAACGTATATTAACCCTGGTGTTATAATTATATTTATATATGTGCTGCTCTGTGGCTGAGAAGCTGGATAACATGTTAACAATTTCATGATCCTCAAGTATCAGGGTTCGATTTAGCAGTGGACAGTTTACTAAAAATCCCTTTTCATGGTTTTCTTACAGTAGTGCCTGAGTTGTTTCATAGGAGAGGTTGGGACCTCACAATGTCATTCTCCCACTGGGTGCATTGTAACCAACCTTAATTTTGAAGGCAGTCTTCTTTTTTTCTTTCTAAAAATTAAACTTCTACCATATTCAACATATCTACAACTATAAGTCTTCTGTTCCAGTTGGTACAAGAAGTCTAAACTGAATTCTGGTTCTAACCTTCAGTGAATGACAGAACCAGAATTGTGAAAACTAAATAGGACTTCCTTTTGCACTACAAGCAATAAAATGACATGCTTTTGTTAATGTGTGTTATTTGTGGATTTGACAACATAAATAACTTACACAATTATCACATACAAACATGTTCATAGCTCATGCAATAAGTGCTTCTGATGCAATAAATATGACACATGCACATTTAAAAGATGCTGGGTGATGTAAATGGGAATAGAAACATGTGTTTCAGTGATTACCCTGTATAAAGATACATATTTGTGTAATACGGTGTAATAATACTGAGGTCTGCTACAGTGTCCAATAATTTCATAATATATACTGTGGCCATTGAATGGATATATTTTCATTCCTATTTTGTTTTTTCAACCATGGGTTTCTGATATGTTCCGATCAGTATAGTAGAAGATTTGTATGTGATTAGAGACTGTGTGTCTGTGTATGTGTTTGTGTGTATATACAGAGGTTATCTTACAAAAACTGTACCATTTAAGTGCCTATTTAATGTCTTAAGAGCTTCTCTGGTGAAAAGAAAACACAGACAAAGCCAGTAGGAAATAATGAATACTGCCTTATTACATATAATGTTTAATTATTAAATTAGTTGGTCTCAAGACTCAATGAAAAATAAGGAGGCTTGGACCTGACACCAGTTCTTACACCACTTCCCAACACCCCCTTTTCCTCCCCCTACGTAACAATGTAACAATCTTGTTGCAAAAACTTGCACTGGAAGGGAGAAATGGACTGTGAGCTCTAAGTGATACATAAAGGCCTAATAGGATAAAAACGAAATACTTTATTGCTTGGTAGGTTAACATTACAACAGACCTAATGTATATTTTAGCATATCACTAGTTGTTGCGTATCCTTTACAGGATGTTGCAGAACCAACCCAAACAGCCCCTGGCTGTTGTGTGGTTTCTCTAGGCAAATTTACGTCCAGTAGTTTGCCATTGATTTCTGGACGGTCGGCTTTCTTGATACCACTGTCAAAACCAACGCAAGGCGCATGGCCCGCAGCTGGGATTGAACAAGGCATCCCGGCATTACGAAGCGTTCGCATCGACTTAGCCACAGAGCTGACTTTTAGCATATCATAAAGCAAAAATTAAAGGACCCTTTTCTATAGTATATGGTGCTGACCCATATTTTTATGTAGCAATAAGCATTTTATAGGTATGTGGGCACAATCACAGTGGTCACCATTGTCCATCCGAGTATCTTCTAGTACATATTTTAGCCAGTTCAGTCTTTTATCTGATGCAAACATTTGTTTGAATCTCCATCTCAGTGAGGATCTGAACATATGACTACTTGTCTGCCATGGGTTAACAAAGGTATTAACTAATTTTACAGAGAAAAGCTTTTGAAAGAAAAGAGAGTTTTCAGCACAATGAAATATATATATGAGTGATTTTTTTAACAAAGGGTAAACACATTTAAATGTAACAGGATACAAGAAAGGGATTGTTGCGATTGATACAGTGCATACAGATTACAAAGATGTTTACTCTTCAGCTCATGAGTTAAAACATGTGAAAATAAAATACAGAAAGAGATTTAATGAAGAAAAATGTAAGACATGCAAAGAGAACAGATGCAATTTGATCATCTTGCAAATGAAAGGAGGATTATCAGAGGCCATTTTAAAATCTTTATTTTATAACAGTAGAGGCAGAGGGAAGGACACACAAATACTCAAGAATTAATTGTTAGGAAATAAAACTGATGAAACTGGTGGATTTTTAGATATTTGTTTTAAAGAGCAGGAACCATTGCAATGATACTGAATGATAAATATATAAAATGGCATAATCAGCTAGCAATGACTGTTCTGTGATCAAGTCTATGACTCTTGTGTGCAATCTGTGGCAAGACTCATTTGTAGTTAAAGTTGATGGAAAAGGGGGGGGGGGGGGGGAATACAGCATCATAATGGTGATTAGCAACCCAACTATGTAACTCTGGTCAGAAAATACCCTGTTTGACAGGTGAGATCTTACAGTCTTGACTGTTTATACAGCTTCCCCGCTAGAATAATGGGCTGTCTGTGTCCCCTTTCTTTAAAAAATAAAATTTTACCACAATTTTCCTTAAAAATACAGGTAGCGAAAGACATGATGACGTGGTTGGTTTGTGAGGGGTGTTTTTGAAGGTGAGTAAGTGTGTGTTTCTGTGTGTGTGTGTGTCTGTGTGTGTATGAGAAAGAAATAAGGCAGAGATGGGTGACAACTGTTAGAACAAGATGGACATTATTAACATACTAGAAAGATAATGTTTTCCTATTGTCTGTGCCCTGACAGTACTAAAGAGAAATTTAAGAAAAGGGAACTGCAGGACTATTCACATGTAAAAAGAAATATGATAAATGGCAGTAATTTAGTTTTGACATCTATTACTCATAAAGGGAAATAAAGTAAAAAAATTTAGAAGCAAGTGTGTTATTTTAATTCTAGCCTGCTTTACATGAACGCTTTCTAGTGTTAAAACTCGTTACTCTTCTGTATTAGCACAACTGTTCTATTCTATGAATTAGTAACTTAATGTATAACCATCTGAAGATAAAATGGCCAAAAAAAGATGAAAATTATAAAAGCCAATTTAAAATGTCATTGGGGGTTTGTTAGCATCTTTTTGTAAGTTTAATTTTGCTGATTGTGAATCTTGTTTGACTAATAAAGCAAAATTATAAAAAAAAAAAGCTCAAGTACTTATTAAAACTATGCAGATAATGTACTTAAAAGAAACAATTTTGCGGACACTAATAACTTAGAATCGGAACATTCAATGACCCAAAGCTGAAAAGACTTTACAGTCTCAGTTAAATATGGAAGCTCTGATTGAAAATGTTACCCATGTAACCGTAATCATTATCTGTGGGACCCTCTTTGGTTTCTTTAAGTTTCTGACTGCTGGTGGCATCATATTGGAAAATCTGACCTGTTTTGAAATACAGAAGGTTAAAGGTTAGTAACACGAGTCCCTGCAGCGAGCTGGCTTACCCATGTACGTGTCATCTTCTTCGGGTCGTCCTTCAGGTGTAGAGTTAAAAACCTTTCCACCATCAGCTGTTCTGTAGCTGAACAACTGGCCTGCAGGAGAACATGGTATATCAGAATGTTTCTGACAGAGACAAATCCCTCAAGAACCAAAGATTACAGCTTGATGATTCACTTTTTCCTCTCCACATTTGGCTTAAATCAGCTAAAATGATGATATGTCATTAATTTAAGACGTTCACAGTTGAGGCATGTTTCAGTACTATCAAGTTTTATCAAGTGGATGGAGAATCACTAAATAGTCACTGAACTGGAAAATGCATGGACATGGAAAGTGAGGATGTCAAAGAAAAACTCTCAGATGAACATAATGAAGGAGGGGGGGGGGGCCCAAAAGTGCTGCACTTGATTCTATCAAAATGAAAATCTTTGTGCCTTTGTGAGAAAAATGATGCCTATTGAAAAGCATGAGTAAGTAGTAGATACAAAACAACACTATATGAAAAGTGTTACTGGCCGTATGTTGTTTTTTGTGAAGTGTCTCATCAAGGACAGTCAAATATTGTACATGAAGTGCCTCATCATGGACAGTAAAATGTTGGTTCATGTGAAGTGTCTCATCATGGACAGTCAAATATTGGTCGGTGTAAAGTGTCTCATCATGGACAGTCACATGTTTGATTGTATACGTTTCACTATGCTGGCCTTGGTCAAGAATCTCATTAAGGATATTAAAATGTTGGTCTGCGTGAAGTGTCTCATTATAGACATTCAAATGTTGGTCTACATGAAGGGTCTCATTATGGACATTCAAACGCTGGTCTGTGTGAGTGTCTCATTATGGAGAGTCAAATGTTGCTCTGCAGGAAGCGTCTCATTATGGACATTCAAATGTTGGTCTGCATGAAGTTTCTCATTATGGAGAGTCAAATGTTGCTCTACAGGAATCGTCTCATTATGGACAGTCAAATGTTGCTTTTTGTAAAGTGTCTCATTGTTAGTTAGTTAGTTAGTTAGTTATTCCTCTTGTGCCAAAGATGGCGCATAGGGCAGAGGTCATAGCTTTCCACGTCTGTCGGTTCTTTGCCACTTGATGTAGGTCTTGAGTGCGACTGAGACCTATGGTTGAGCTCTCCCTTGTGATGGTTCTACGGAGAGTTTCTTTTGGTCTTCCCTGTTTTCTTTTACCCTCTGGTGACCATATGAAGGCTTGGTGGGGAAGTCTCTGTATGTCCATTCTGAGTACGTGACCGATGTAATTCCAGCGACGCATTCTAATAAAATCAGACACATATTTTTGTTTTGTTTCCTGTCTTATAGATGTATTGGACCTAAAGTCCGACCAGTGAACATTCAATAGCTTTCGGAGGCATCTATTCTCGAAAGCGACTAGTTTCTTATCGATTGATACTGATGATTTCCAACTCTCACAACCATAAGTTAGCACTGGGATCACACAGGAATTGAAGACCTTAAGTTTCGTGTTGTTGCTGAGTGATCTTGACTTCCAAATGTTTGACAGTTTGTTAAAGGCACTTGATGCTAACGCGATTCGAGTCGTTATTTTGTCTCATTGTGGACAGTCAAATATTGTTTTACATGAAGTGTCTTATCATGGACAGTTAAATGTTGATCTGTGTGAAGGGTCTTATCATGGACAGTCAAATATTGTTTTACATGAAGTGTCTTATCATGGACAGTTAAATGTTGATCTGTGTGAAGGGTCTTATCATGGACAGTCAAATATTGTTCCATGTGAACTGTCTCATTATAAACAGCTAAATATTGTTCAATGTGAAGTGTCTCATTATGGACAGCTAAATATTGTTCCATGTAAAGTGTCTCATTATGGACAGCTAAATATTGTTCCATGTGAAGTGTTTCATCATGGAAAGCTAAATATTGTTCCATGTGAAGTGTTTCATTATGGACAGCTAAATATTGTTCCATGTGAAGTGTTTCATTATGGACAGCTAAATATTGTTCCATGTGAAGTGTTTCATCAGTGTTGAGCATCTGCCAGATCCCCTGGTAACTCCTCGCAGTGCCATTCTCATCAGACTGTAATGATCTATTTGTGCTTCTGCACTGTTCACTCGCTTCAGAGGGCCCTCACAATATCTAGCTTGTCATACATCAGTTCACCACCAAGTGGTGCAGAACCAGCCACTCTGTCTGCCTGCTCATTTCATCCAAGGGATGCTAATTACCCAGGACCTCTGAAATAATGCTTGCCACTCTGCACTGAGCATACTTGTCTCCACCTTTGTTAACATACTCTGTGAGTCAGTTACAATTACGGCATGTGCGTACAGCTGATTCTCAAGTCAGCAGAATGCAGCAGTGACTGCCTCCACCTACATTCTCAAACTAGACATTGTGACAGCATATGCCAGGCTTTGTTGCACTAAGCGACGTCCATTCGCTTTTGCTATGAACCCCCATGCCCTTCATCTGCCCCTCAACAGAGAGCCATCTGTATAGATGATTACATCACTTGGGCGGGAATTGTCATGAATCATTTGTTGAACTTCTGATTCTGCAGCACCAGCTGGCCAGTCCCTGCACTCAAGGCTCACAGTGATTAGAACCCTACACAAGTCTGTTCAGACACCTTGACCCACTTCTCTCCTGGCTCAATTTTATCAAGCCTGCACACAAGTCTGATTGTGTCTTCAGCCTGCACCATCCAAGACCTTTCTCTTTTCAGTCTGTGACCCTAGCTTTACCCCGAGCATCATGCAGGAGGTGCTTTTTGTCTGCAGCTACTCTGAGATATGACTTTGCTTGCAAAACATTGAACCTGTCTGCAATAATAGGCAGTGCAAGTATGTATCGCATACATACTACCGGCGTATCTCTTGTACATCCCAGAATTACCCACATAGCTTCATTCTGTATGCCTTCAAGTTTCATCAGCTGACCCTTTGATATAGTAAGCATTCCAAATCCATAATCTATCACCCACAGGATCACATGCTGGATCATTGTGAACAGCATTCTTTGTTCCATGTCCATGGCTACCATAATCTTGAGAGCATTGAGTCTTTTTTAGTATTTCAACGCAACTGCCTCCACATGATCCCTGAAGGACAGGCTTCTATCGAAAATGGTACCCAGGCACCTCAGTTTGCTTTTTCTTTTGATGTTACTTTTATTAATTGTGAGGCTTAGAACATTAGCTCTTACCATTCTATTGTCCAGATAGAACCACAAAACAGCCTTTTTTTTTGGGGGGGGGGGGGGGGGGGTTGAGTTGAGGACAACACACATTTCTGAACATCAGTCAGTCACTTTGTCTACAGTTGCCTGTAGCTCTTGGGCTTTTTGTTGCCTATTACTTTCTTGCCTTTATGCACGAACATCATCAGCAAATGTCAATATTCTTCCAACACTTGGTGCTTCAAGTTCTGCAATCTCACTTGTTTACACACAGAAGAGCAACGGACAAATTGCAGAACTCTGGTGTAGTCGCGGGTTGATAGTACATGGTTTTGAGGTCCATGTACCCAGGCGAAGGGCAACCATACATGAATGCAGGACACCGGCTATCCAATTCACAAGCCAGGAACAAATCGCCTTCTCCATGAGTGCAGATGGCAAAATATCATATCTGACTCTATTGTAGGCATCTTCAAAATCAAGTGCTGCCACAACTGTCTCTTGTCTGTTCTGGAAGCCCTCACAAACATCAAAAGCAAAAGTAGCTGCATTTGACCAGATATCTTTTCTGGCCACACCAAAGTATATACTTATTAATATAAGCGCAATGTGGGAAATCAATCACCATCAGTATTTAATTAAAATGAGGAACCAAATATCATGCTTTAAACATTTTAGGCATATGGTGTTTGCTTTAAATACGCCAATCGGCACTAAATGCATGAAACGATCAATACGACTTTTGGCGACTTTACTTTCAAGAACATATCCTAATATACATATCTAGGCCGGGACTGTCTTGGAGCCGAAGTAAACTTTAAAGTGAATAACACTACACGACCAGCTAGACAGATCTAGTCTTATGCAGTTTTCAGTTATGTCTTTTTAAACTTTCTCCTGCCTGTATTTACTACTCTTAGGGCGGTATATGAAGTGGAGAAAACATAGAGGGGGGGAGGGGTATGTGAGCCTAATGATTTAAGGCTGCATGATTAGTACAGTAGCCACAAACTGTGCAGGTTACTTTTCGCCTCCGAAAAGAAAATCTCGATCCCACACTGATGCTCAAACCTGAGACTCCCGCAAGATAGCCCAGGGCTCTCTTTAGATCCTCAACTACTGCAACAAACATATATGTAAAAGAGTAATTGAATTGACAGCTTTGTCTCAGCAAACTACATCTGAAAGTACATTAACACAGCACCAGATCCTGACTAAGTAAGTACATTAACACAGCACCAGATCCTGACTAAAAAGTACATTACCACAGCACCAGATCCTGACTGAGTAAGTACATTAACACAGCACCAGATCCTGACTGAAAAGTACATTACCACAGCACCAGATCCTGACTGAGTAAGTACATTAACACAGCACCAGATCCTGACTGAAAAGTACATTACCACAGTACCAGATCCTGACTGAGTAAGTACATTAACACAGCACCAGATCCTGACTGAGTTAGTAAATTAACACAGCACCAGATCCTGACTGAGTAAGTACGTGTATTTCTATTCCTACCTTGCCAGTACCAGCTGCCTGGAGCCGTGATAAGCAAGCGCCTTCCATCCTGAAAGAAACATGAAACTCGGCCATAAATCAAAACTTACATATGGACATGATCAGGTAACATGACATGTGATATATTTTCCTAGCTAGTTTAAAATAATGTCTGCTGTATAATGCATACAAATGTAAACTTAGAGTGTCATTGATTTTAAAATATATACGTAAATTTCCTCAACAGTTAATTAAAAATCCTATTTTTTCTTTTAAGACCAAGTGGCTGAATTGTGAAATTTGATACCATAGTTACTACGCTAGAAAAGGGTCGGATCGCCCCTTTTGCTTTTTGGCTAAGATCAGAGGTAGTGTTTATTTAGACGATAAACAAAGCGCGTCCCTAATTGTAAAACATGGCTTCTCCCCTCCCCCTTCCAACTGTATCTGCATTCGACCTCTGATCTTAATCAAAATACCCAGAAGACCAGACACTCTTCTAGTGTAGTAAATCTGGTATTATGATGCATCACTGAATACTGTTTGTTTTCAGCAAGTCCGCATTTGACCACAAAGGAAATTAATTAGCATATTTTAAAAAAGGTCAAATGTAGGACCCTTTTTCGCGGCCGTGGTGGATCGGGTACATGATGCTAGACCCATATTTGTATGTACCAAGCGGTACTTGATGGGTGATCTAGACAGCAGCAAGTCAGTCAATAGCTTATGCTGCTATATAATTACACACGGATATCAAATCCTGATATCCTGCAAGAAATTATAACAGAATCACTTGCTGTCACAAGCTGGAAAGAGAAGACAGGCCAGAGAGATAAATGGAGGCGAGTAATTGCTGTACTGAACATCACAGGCTCGGAATGCTGAAAAAGAAAAAGAAAAAGAAGAAGAAAAAGAAGAAGAAGAAGAAGAAGAAGAAGAAGAAGAAGAAGAAGAAGAAGAAGAAGAAGAAGAAGAAGAAGAAGAAGAAGAAGAAGAAGAAGAGAGAAGAAGAAGAACAACAACAACAGTAACAACAACAACAAAACAACAGAATGATGTTTTATTTACAAAACTACTGCAATTAAACAGTGCATTTACATCTAAATTCCAGATTCTAGTGTACATATGCAACTACTTATCAGATAATGCAATGCATGTGCAAATAAATGATTATAGGCGGTGTATTATGTGGTGTATGTAAATATGTGGGCAGGGAAACTATTTTCACAGAACCTACAGAAATTCACTTCAACCGTTTTTTCATCGGTCATTCTGTTGCATGCATTGATACATATGTACCGGAATCTACTGAGGAAGGTGATATAGAGGACTACGAGGAAGAGGGGAGGGAAGAGGTGAGGAGAAAGAGAAGAAAGAGGAAAAGAAAGCGTGGGCGAGGCATTCAGGATTATTACAATACTGTCTGAAGCGAGATGTAACGGACAGATAATAAGGTAAAGTCTGGCTTCTGGATGCTGCCAATGTCTGTCAATGCGTAATCCAAGAATGAACGATATTGTTCCAGCAATAGATTATTTCCGTTATTGATAAACTTTTAACTCCCAATTTTAGGCCAACGTAAATTAGAAAATGAATCGCGGTGACAGATAAGTCAATTAAAATACACTGTATTAGTTGACATCACAAGCTGTGACCAGAGTGCGCGCGCCGTGTGTGTGTGTGTGGGTTTGTATGTGTGTGTGTATGTGTGTGTGTGGTTGCGTGTGTGTGTGCACACAACTATTCAGGAGAGTAGACTTCAGAAAAAAGTAACAATACAGAAATTTTATTTTTTAATGACTATGATATTAAAGGTTTTATTTCTGCTTAACTTACTATGGATCAAGAAGAAAATACTGACGTAAAATAATTAAACCACTTGTTTATAAACAGCATCATGATCCGAAAATTGAACTACAAAGCCATGTTAATTGTGGTTTAGGGAGAAACTAAAATTTAAGGAATTGTCAAGGCAATAAACCCTGGGCATATCAAGCGGTAGAGGCAGGAGAATACGCCAGAGATTTAAGAGTCTCTCCGACAGGCAATAATGAGAGCAAGTTTGCAAAAAGGGCGTACTCGATGATAATGATGGGGGTAAAGAACATCTACACCCAACTCTCAAATAAACAAGCAGACGATGACACCTCAAAGCTAACACTCACATGAGTTTGTGTATTGTCTTAACACGGCGTATGAATGTCTGCCTGCGTGAGAAGGTCATCTTGTGTAAAACATGAGCAGACCGTTAGCGGAGACTACTTCAACAGGGCGTGAACAACAGTGTGAAAAATACCGCCCAGGTTCGGTGCGCTTGACTATGGCATTCATATGTTGAATTAAGATTCGACATCAAAACCTTCAGGGCACTTCCATAAGCGTTCCGTCCCCATCAACAGCAGCAAGCAAAGTGTTCTAGTTCTGATGGTGCCAGTAACTGTCTGATTGTACAGTTTCGCCCTTTCCTTGAGTGTTTAGCGTCAGTCAGATACCCTGGTAACTCCTTGTAGCGCCATTCTCCTCAGACTGTTATGATTTATTAGTCTCCGCACTGTTCACTCGCTTCCAACGGGCCCATACAACATCTACCTTGGCGTACAGCAATTCTCCACCAAGTAAATGGACCGCCCAAAATGTAGCATCAAAGTAAGTTGGGCAATCCTCAGTCAGGTTAAAATGTTTAAGTACTTGCGTACCCTGATAACATCAGATGGAAGATGAATTAAAGAAGTTAAACGTAGAATTGCTCAAGCAGAGTCAGCACTTCACAGAAAATATGAATATTCTGTGCAACCTTTCTTTGTCAATTGTGTCGAGAAATAGAATTCTTAAAAGCTATGTAATTGTTTATTAGTGAACACATTTTTTGGAAATGGTTGAGATGTGGTTTTATAGACGAAAGACGAAAATTCTACGAACATACTTTTTTTTTAAATGAAAATGTTTTGTAAGAAACTGACTCACATCAAAAGAAGACATTCTACATCCTTTGGCCATCTCATAAGAAGGAGAAAAACTGAAGTATATCGTGATGCTGGAGGGGGAAATGGGCAGAGGGAAACCGAGAAAGAAGTTGCTGGGCATTTTGATATCATGGCATGAAAATTCTTCTACGTTAGAGCTAATTTAAAGTACACGAGACAGGGGGTTGTGGATAGACCTGACTACCAACGTCACACAGCATAAATTATTAGCAGAATGTACGGATGCAGAGAACGTTTATAAAACTGACAGTATGGCATTGACAATATATATATGGGACAGTAGTATAAGAAATAAGTGTATTGTGTGGTGCGCGTGCGCACGGGCAGGCATGCATGGAATTCAGAATCGATGTCGTTCTACTTTAGACACCCAAAATTGTTCTTTTTCCGTTTGAAGGCCAAAGACAAATGGTGATCATATTATTTTTTTATTACCTTGGAATCCCTACTAGACCTCAGATGTAGATCCGCCTAAGCTCTTGAATATCATTCTAACCTATATACCCACGATTAAAACCACAGCTATATGAGATGTTGACAGCTTACTTATATCACAATGGACAAGCTGTAGTTAACCGACAATGGACAAACATTTCTCCCAATACAATGAGTTTGAACCCACACAGGAGACATTTTCTTCAACATCTGACCTTGGCTCCAGATTGAACTAGCTTAAACGGATACCAGCAAATGTTCCAGAAAGCAAAGGTATTGTCGCTAAATTGTCCAGGTTATCAATCAAATGCCGAATGGTCTGTAAAACAAGGCGGCTACCACCATATACCAAATACACTACAAGGTATAAAAATGGCTCTTTACTTATTGAACTGCCACTCTTCACGAACAACAAATGTAGACAGCTAACCACTGGCTGTACATTTATTGTGGTAAATACAAGCAGGGGAATATAGATATAGAAAGACTCACGTACTTGAGACAGGGCGGCGCTGAACCCGGCCTGACAGAAGCCTTGGCGGTGAAAGCCCCACATGTCTGTAGAGACACACACAGCAACACACAGCATGTCAACACAACATCTACATATGGAGCAATCCCAGGCAAATGCAATGTCACAATCAAATGTGCAAGAAAAAACATGTTTATATATACATATGCATACACATACATAGATGGATATATCTTTACCAACAGTTATATTACATATTTACGTGTCATGCTTATATCATCAAAATACGTGTTTATGAAATGCGTACAGCCAAACAATGTACGTTGTAATATTATGGCCAGAAATTCACTGTTTAGTTAACTCCTTATGTCCCATACAGTTGTTATATTATCTGGTCAGTTCTAGTGACTATGCAGGTGTGTTGGGAAATCAACAATCAGATGGACTGGCTGGTTCTGTACCAGTGGGTTGTGAAGTGGTGTATGGCAAGGCAGATATTGCATTGTTACTTTGGTAGCTTTTTAAGAACAACACGGAAGAGCGAACAGATCACAACAGTGTAAAAGGAATAATGCAGATGGGAGAGACTGGACGATCCGGTAGACTTTTAATATTCGGAAGAGGGCAAAATTAGCATATAATGAGACTACAAGATTACAATTAACGCCATTAGTATTTATTGGCTGCTGAAGATAGCAGAGAGCCATTATGGGAAATTCACTAACAGCAGCGATGTCTGTTTTAAAGTTCTAACTGACATAGAATGATTTAAGCTAAATCCTGTATATATTAATAATATTATTTAACCTAAAGCTTCTTCAATACAGTAACACCGCGTTAACTCAGACTGGCGCATCAAAAACACTTCGTTAACGTGAAAAAAACTGTGGTCTCAGCGGAGATGTTTTATTACAACAAAACTGTGTATTCAGGTACAGTATAGTCTATTTCTGTGTGTGTGTCTGTGTGTCTGTGTGTGTGTGTGTGTGCGCGCGTGTACGTGTATGTATGTGTGTGTGTGTGATCCCTCCTGACACAACTGGAACCATGCAGAAATAACAGTCATTTATGTGGCTGCTGGGCTGCTGGAAACGATGAGACCTGCAAAAGGTATCGATGTATTTTCTCCTTTCATCCACTTTAGAAGTTTTCTTACAAAACCTACTGCAGCATATGTGT